GTTGTACTGTGGGCTGCACCCGCTCCCAACAGTGTGTGCACGTGTGGGATGACTAACTGGCCTCATGGCCCGTAATGGCCGTGGGCAGTGAGAGAGACTGATGTGCTGGAGGGTGCAGGGGGCTGTGTCCCATTACGGAGAAGGCTCCGACGTCACCGCTGCACCCAGCTCACGCAGGCAGCATCACACGCCACACAGCCATACACTCAGCCTGAAGGACATGCACATGCTGGGGACACACCCGCTCACAGACAGGCTGGCGGAAGCGCCCCCACTGTCGAAGGCACTGGCGTGAACCCATGTTCCAAGCCACTCCCAAGAAGAGGGGTCCCCTACACCATTCCTGGGGCCCAGACCCACCTGTGACCACATCCAAGGCCCCCAAATGTCCCCAGGCCAGCTGTACAGAGGGGAAGTGACTGGTTCAGGAGCATATACAGGGAGTTTGGGGTGAGAGCTAAAACTCCTGCCTTTTACACTGGTCTTCACTCCCCAGTCACATGAAGGGTGTGAGTGGGCAGGGGGCTGGACCACCCTGGCATGGACGCCTGGCTTGGGGAGGCCATCTCTGTTGGGGGAGACACCCAGCTTGTCCTGGGATTGGGAGCCAGGACAGGGAATTATCAACCAAAGAAGGAGCTGACAGGGTGTCCTTTTCCTGGGTCTCAGGTTCCCCAGTGCTATGTGTGAATTGATTCTCTGGAAACAGGACCAAGCACATGGTTGAGGGAAGGAGAGCTGTTTCCCATTCCTCCAGGGCTTTGCTTCTCGGGCCCAGGATCCGAGTAGGCTGTCCAACTTAACAACAACAACGATAAATAATAGCAGCTGCCATTTACTATGCATCAGCCATGTGCCAGAATGCCCTGTGCTAAGTGTGTGACCTCCGTTAAATATGTTAAGTTTGTTCCTTCCTGTGGGATACTTGCCCAAAATCATGTAGCTAAAGTGGTGGAGCTGGGCCTGGGTCGTAGTGCTCTCTGTTCCAGTGCTTGCTGCCTCCCTTAGTTCTGTCTCCTCCCCTAGTTGGGAGGGAGCACTCTGAGCTCTGGCATTGAGGCACATGGTGCTCCTCCACCTCCCGAGGATTGACTCTGCCTCCCTGATTTGTTCCTCCCTCTCCAGGCCTTGTACAGCTCCATCAAGAATGAGAAGTTGCAGTGGGCCATGTAAGTCCTGGGGCTGTGTTGTAGAGCAGGGATGGGGTGTGGGAAGGGGCTGCCTGGTGAAGCAAGAGAGCTGGGGTAGGCCTTGTGAGTCCTGGGACCATGGAGGCTGGGGAGGGGGAGGGTAGGAGGCCATGAGAGGCAGTGAGGTTGCCTCATTTCCTTCTTTGGAGATGACTGCCTGGACTTGGGGTTCTGCCTCTTGTCTCTAGCTGGGTTGTTGTGACAAGCTGGGTGGGGTGGGCGGCTGCTGTCAGCTAGCCTGGAAGGGGGGATGTTGAAACAAAAAGGGGGAGGTCCTTTGGCAACCCTAGTGGGAGAGCAGAAGTCCATGGAGGTAAGGCCCTGACCAACAGAGGGAGAGCCCCTCTCCAGTCCTAGGGAGCCCAGAGAGACAGAATAAGTCTTGGGAGAGTCCAGTCTGAGAGAGAGGGTCCAGCTGTCGCCTTGACAATATCAGTCTGATGGGGAGCCCTCATCTAAATAGTTGATGGTCATTCATATTTGCTGTCATCTGCTGAGAATCCAGCCACTGCTCAGTTTAGTTGGGAGCTCCCAGTTGGCAGAAGAGAAAACCGCAGAGGATTGGGGTAGAGGGAGAGATGGGGGAGACTTCTTGGATGATTGCCTTGAGGCAAGTTTTGAAGGAGGGGAGTTGGTACTTGGGAGGCAAAGGTGTGGCCTGGCTGGAATGGGGGTGGAAGGAAAAAGAGACAACATTGGTGGAGATGAGGGCCAAACTATAAGATGAAGCGTAGGCTCCATGTAGGAGGCAATAGGGAGCTACTGCAAGTTCTTGAGCAAGGGAGTGACAAAATAGAATTAGATTTTTTAGATGATATTTGGCATAGCCTGCAAGCCAGGGTACATTGGGGTGCCACTGGGAAGTTACTTCTTCCTTCTGCTGCTGCCATTTAGCCAACAAGCTAAAGCCTGATGCTGGGTGTGGTTGAGAGAGCTGAGTCAGACATGTGTCTATCCTGGTGGAGAAGGGTGTGCGGGCTGGTGGGGGTTGCCGAATGCAGAGAATGGGGATGGTTACACATGATGGGAAGAAGGGTGAGACCTGGCCCTGCCCTCAGAACCTGTTAGTTTTAATCTGAGGGAAGAGACATGCTGCCTCTAGGAGCCCTGACCTGAAGTGGGAAACAGCTATACCTTGGGAAGACCCAATCTGAGGGGAAGATATGGCCCTGGAGCCTCAGGCTGAAGGGAGCTACACCCTCTGAGAGAGCAGTCCCCTCTTCCCATCTCCACAAACACTGGAGCAGCTTTCCTGGGTGGGCAGAAGCCAAGGCTGAAGGGGGGGTTGTGGCTCCACGGCCACCCCCTCTGAGGTGATCACACCTGCAGAGACGAGGAGGAGCTGAGGCGCTCTCTGTCCGAGTTGGCCGACCCCAACCCCAAGGTCATCAAGAGGATCAGCGGGGGCAGTGGCAGCGGCTCCAGCCCTTTCCTGGACCTGACTCCTGAGCCTGGGGCCGCCGTCTACAAGCACGGGGCCCTGGTGCGAAAGGTGCACGCAGACCCCGACTGCAGGAAGAGTACGTGGCCAGGGGGTGGGTCTGGGGGATGGGTGGGAGTGGACCTGTCCCAGACCCCCTGACCTGTCTCCCTTCCCCCCAGCACCTCGGGGCAAGAGGGGCTGGAAGAGCTTCCACGGGATCCTCAAGGGCATGATCCTCTACCTGCAGAAGGTGCGGGGCTAGGGCCAAGGGGTTGGGGCTGAGCTGGCTCAGGGGAGTGCTGGTGGGCTTGGCCGGGCCAGACTGGGGCCAGGACAAGATGGGTACTCCCACAGGAGGAATACCAGCCTGGGAAGGCCCTGTCGGAGGCGGAGCTCAAGAATGCCATCAGCATCCACCATGCACTGGCCACCCGTGCCAGTGACTACAGCAAGCGGCCCCATGTCTTCTACCTACGCACAGCTGACTGGCGGGTCTTCCTCTTCCAGGCCCCGTGAGTGCCTGCCTCCTCCCCATCCTCAGCCCCTGCCCCAACTTCCCAGCTTGCTCCCCTCCCTGGTTTGCCTTGTTCCCCCTCAGGCTGCACCTTGATCCAGGACTGGCATCCCTGGGCAGGAACCCCAGGCCCAGGTCCCAAGTGGTTATGCTGTTTCGCCAGGAGCCTGGAGCAGATGCAGTCCTGGATCACGCGCATCAATGTGGTGGCAGCCATGTTCTCTGCACCCCCCTTCCCAGCTGCTGTTAGCTCCCAGAAGAAGTTCAGCCGCCCTCTGCTGCCCAGTGCTGCCACCCGCCTCTCCCAGGTACTCCCAACTCAGTCTACTTGGTGCAAATGGGATGGAGTGGGGCAGGCCCAGGCCAGCTGTACTCAAGGCTGCTGTGCAGGATTATGTAGATGTCCACTGCACAGGATACCGGCCATGGGGGGTGAACAGAGCTGACATCCAGCCCCTATTCTACTTCCCAAGCTGTGACACTCAGAATGGTACTCTGTCCTTCCAAAGGAAGGGGTACCTTTTCGTAAATGCGCATAAAGGTACTGTCTGGGCTAGAGTGCCTATGACTGTACCCTCCCTGACCGCTAGGAGGAGCAAGTGCGGACCCACGAGGCCAAACTGAAGGCCATGGCAAATGAGTTGCGGGAGCACCAGGCCGCCCATCTAGGCAAGAAGGCCCGGGGCAAGGAGGCTGAAGAGCAGCAGCAGAAGGAGGCCTACCTGGAGTTTGAGGTGAGCCTCCCTGCCCAGGCACTTCTGGGGCTCCTTTCTCCCTCAGCAGGGCCTCTGTGACCCCCACCCCCCACCCCCCCCACAGGCAGGCTCTGACTAGTGGTTAAGGGTGTGGACTCAAGGAGACCAGCTGGGTGACCGTCGGCAGGTTGCTTAATCTCTCTGAGCCTGAGTTTCCTTTTCTATGGAACAAGGATAACATTCCATACCCACAAGGGTAATGAAGTGAGATGAGGTGTCAAGAGCTCAGGTTTCCCAACCCTGGTAAAGGCTCAAGAAACATTTGCTGTTACAATTGGTCATCTGGAGAGAGCCCAGAGAGGGTCACCAACCCCCAGGGGATCATCTCTCAGCCCTTGGGGGCTTTGGGACTTCAGAGGTGGGCAAGACCCTTCCATCTCCTACCCTTCTCTGGCATCCCTCAGTGGTCCAGGTGGGAGTGGAATGGGAGAGGGTGGAGAGCAGTCTCTCACAGCTGCTCCTCTGCCCCAGAAATCCCGTTATGGCACATACGCAGCACTGCTTCGGGTCAAGCTGAAGGCAGGCAGCGAGGAGCTGGATGTGGTAGAGGCAGCACTGGCCCAGGCTGGGAGCGCAGAGGATGGAATCCCTCCCTCTCACTCCAGTTCCTCCCTGCAGCCCAACACTTGCGGCCAGCCCCGGGCCCAGCACCATGGCTCAGAGCCTCGGGCAGGGGCAGGCAGTGGGCGGCGGAAGCCCTGAGGGTTGGAATGTGGGGGTTGGTGCCTGCTGGGCACCTGCATGACGTGGCCCTGCCTGAGCCCGGGCCGGCCTCAGGCCACCCATGTGGGTCTCTGGGCCAGGGCCCTACCGCGCCGGACGCGGTGTCCGGGGCAGGGCAGGGCTGGGCATGGGCCTCATGAGCCTGGGCTAAGACCCCTCCGAGACCTCCATTTTGTGATAATGTTTTGCACTTTTTCATACAGGGTGGGGTGGGGTGGGGCCCAGGGCCCCTGGACTTTTGAAGCTTTTTTTGTGGGGGAGGCCTGACAACGTTTCCGCTTTCTGCTGAGACCACCCCCACCCTGACACCAGCAATCCCCCCCCATCCTGGGGCCTGGCTCAGACAGAGGCCAGGAGTTGGGGCTGAGCTGGTTTTCCTTCCTTCCTCCCCAAGGGCTCACTCTCTCTTCCCAGAGGTGGAGAAAGGGCGTCCAGGCCAAGGCCCCTGGTCTGTGAGGCCCCTGTGCACAGGCCAGCGGCATGGCCTGCTTGCCCTCCTGCAGTGGGCCCTGCCCTTTGTACAGCCTCCACTCCCATTAAATCTGCTCTGGACTTGCTGGCTGGGCCTCCTCCTTTTCCTGCTCTAGTGCTTGACCTGGGGTTAGGGTAAGCAGCTGGTTCTAGGGACAAGTGTCACATAGGGGACTGCCTTAAATTGGGGAGGGTACCAGGCCCCCCTTCCTATGAGAATCCTTTATTTGCCCCAACTGAGGGGTGGGTGTGGGGTGTTAAATAAGAGTTGGAACAGGTGGGGATGCTGTACAGAGGGTACCCAGGGAGGGGGCTGCTGGGTGGGCAGTAGGTCAGTGCACCTGAGGCTGGGGGTGCCCATGGCAAAGCCCTCCTGGTGGCTCAGGGGGTGGGCCCAGCTTCTCTGCCTCCTGTTCCACTGACTGGCTCCCGTAAGCACTGTCCTCCTTCACCTCTGCTGTGGGGGGAGGGGAGAAAGGGGATAGTCAGGGCCTTAGGCCTCCCACCCCCCAGGCCCAGGCCCAGACCCACCTCCCAGGCAGGACTCCTTTACCTGTGCTGGGCAGCTTGTCCTGGGGCTCGGGACCCCTCAGCAGCCTCACTCCCTCCTCTAGGCCCATGTCAGACAGGGCATCTAGCAGACCCGCCAAGTCACCACCAGCCAGCTGAGGGGAGGGAAGGGGCATGATGTCTGAATTATGTTTAGGGTGTGGGGTTGGGAGCTCTGGGGCCAAGGAAGCATCTGGGATTAGGAAAAGGAAGCTGGAGGTTGGACAGGGGCTGAGGGGGCCAACCTCATAACTGCGCAGGAGGCTGCCGCTGGGCGAGGCCGTCTTTCGGTACGTGTCTACCAGGCTGCGCAGCCCCAGCCGCTCTGCCAGCTCTGCCCAGCTTCCCTGGGCTCCTGGCCCATCTAGCAGCTGCTCCAGGTTCTGCAGAGCTGCATCCCCAAGTGACAGACCTGGCCCTGAGAAGAACACACGTAAATGTGTCAATTACCTCAGAAACGGGCAGAGGCCCAGATGCCTGGACACCCCGTTTCTCCCATGGTAATCTGACAGACAGGCAGACAGTGCTACTGGGGGTGATGGAGGAGGGGAGCAGAGAGGGAAAGAGTCCTCTGTGAGGAGGGAAGGGCCTGGGGTCTGGCACTGGATGGAGAGAGCTCACCTGCCGGGCTGGGTGGGGTCAGGGGAGGCTCCATGGTGTCCTGAGCAGCATTTAGCAGCAAGGTCCTCACCTGGGGAGACAGCCTCAGCTTTGACCACCTCCCACTCAATCCGGAAGCCCAGGTACCCCTAAATCCAGATCCTCTGGACCCCCTCCCCATGCCCGGTACACTGTTTCCTGGTACTTCCAGGCCCACGCTGGCCTTACCTTGGTGCTGCGAGTGAGGTCAAGAGGCGTGTGGCCCCGGAAGCTGCTTCGGGTATCCCTCTCTGGCCCCTCAGAATCTGAGTCGCTACCAGAAGTTGGGGGTGAAGGCAGTGGGCACACGGGCTCCTCATTTTCTGCATGGATGTCAGCACCTGGGGGATGGAGGCAGTCATGGGGAGGTTCTCTAGGGGACCACATTAGAGACTGCAAAGCAGGGGGAGTAGGAGGTACCCCTTTTCCTGCCTCCTCGCTCTGCTCATATGCCCCCGAGAGTGAGACTGACCAGCCTTTAGCAGGAGGCGGGTGAGGGTTGGGGATCCCAGACCAGCTGCCAGGTGTAGGGGCGTGTTTCCCGCAAAGGTGCGGGCATTCACGTTTGCACCAAGCTGTGGAGTACAAGGAAGTGGTTGATGATAGGGTGGTCCCCTTAGCCCCCCAACCCCTTCACTGTCACAGGTTCCTCCACAGCCCTTGGCCCCACTGCTCCCATAATCCTCATGCCCTGCCCTGTCCTACCTTGGTGACCAGATGGGTGACCAGCCCCAGCTCCTCCATCTCTGTGGCTAGATGCAGGGCAGTTCGGCCTCCCTGCCGCTCTGCAGCCTCCACCTCAGCTCCATCACCCACCAGCAGATCCAGGCACTCAGGGCTACGGGCACGGACTGCCAGGTGTACTGGGTACAGCCCTAGGGATGCACAATATTCAGCCAGCAGCTGTGACGCCAAGTCGGTCCCCAGACCAGCCCTGACCAGTCAGCCTTGACACTTTGTGTCCACTCTGAGAGCCCACCAGATACCCTCCCCGGTCCCTGTTCTCCTGACCCAGATGAAGTGGAAAACTCACCCTCAAAGTCTGTTGTGTGCAGCAGCTGGGGCACGGCAGGACCTCCACTCTGCAGCAGTGCGCGCAGCAGGTCCGGGGCACCAGCCCGCAGCGCTAGATGCACGGCTGAGTCTCCATGCCGATCCAGCAGTGCAGGGTCTGCGCCCACCTGCAGCAGGAAGCTCACCACGCTCGTCTGCCCGGTGATCACCGCCAGGTGCAAGGGAGTCTGGGGGCGAAGGCAGGCATGAGCCAGGCCTGCCCCTGGCCTAGACCCACCTGCTCTCCAACCCCTTCCCCTCACTGATAGGTGCCCCCTCACCTGGTGCAGGTGGTTGGTGAGGTTGACGACGCCGAGGTATGGGGCATGGTAGATCACATGGGCTATCTGCTCAATGACATTCATCTGCCCGTGGATGATGGCCAGGTGCAGCGGCCTGGGGGGTGAGGGGTGAGACTCTGGCCGAGAAGGCCTAGCTGCTCAGAATATTCTCTACCCTCCATAATCTCCCTCAATGGGGCCTGCCTAACTCAGTCCGTCTCCAAGGTCATTGCTGTACGTGAATTTAATCCTTCCGGGCACCTTTTGAGGTAGATAAATACTATTATTGTGCCCTTTCAGAGTCGACAAAACTGAAGTTGGGAGGGATTAAGTACGTTCAACAGAACTAGGAAATAGCAAGGCCACACTTGAAACCTGGCCTGTCCAACTCTAGAGCTCCAGGACCCCCGCCAACACTACAGCCCCGCCTTCCGCTCCTCTTCACCCGCCAACGCGCGCCCCCGGGGGCGGGGGGGGAGGAGGGGGGACGGACCCAGCCCCCACCCGCCCTCCCGCTGGCCTACGTGTCTCCGTTCTCGTCCTGCGCCGTCAGCAGGTGGCGCTGTCCCGCCAGCAGCGAGCGCGCGTCCGCCGTGACGCCGTAGTCGAGCAAGGCACGGGCGCTACGCTGCGCCAGGCCGAACAGGCGCGCGTTGTACTCCCGGGCTAGGGGCGACAGGGGGCGTGGGCGAGAGCCACGAACGGCGGGCAGGTCCCTGTCCCATCGTCCCGACCACCCGGATTCGGAAGGGCGTACCTTGCGCCAGCATCTCCGGAGCCGACGGCTCGCGCCGGGGCGCGCTCGGCTCTGCGGCTTCCTCCCCAGCATCTGCGACAGGCGCCGAGGCGGCCATCTGCGCCCCGCCCCCGCCTCCCGGGTAGCAGCCCATTGGGGCAGCTCCAGACTGGTAGGGGCTGTAGGCCAAGGAGGAGGGGAAAAAGCCGAGGCTGCCACCTGTGGGTACAGGCAGGGCTGTAGGGAAGGGGCACCAGCCAGAGCTCTGAGGCTTCTTCCCCCACCCCCGGCTTCTCTTCATCTTTCCCTCCTCCATCCCTCTTCCCACCACCAGCACTCCTCACCTCCTCCTCCAGCTCCTCCATAACCCCCAGCAGAGCCTCCAGAGCCTCCACCCATGTGGGAGCCACCCCCGAAGGGCTGGGAGAAGGTGGGCAAGGCCTTCCTCCGCTTCCGCTGCACCTCCTCCTTGTCTGGGGACAGAGGGAAATGGGATGTTATAACCCTAACTCATAGGCCCCATCTCCAGAGCCCTTGCCCAAGCTTGGTAAAGGACTCTTCCCTCAACAGCCCTCAGCTACAGCCCCTCAGGCTGCACTCTCTCCACCCTTGCCTTGGCTCATGGGTCCCCTAGTCTAGTTCTTGGAACCTTCCAGCCCAGCCCCCAGTCCCACTAGCCCCCTGGGATCTACATCCCAGCTCTACCTTCTACCAGTGGGTAATAGGTGAACTGTTTGGAGTCAGAGACATCCCCCCCACGCTTGCGTTTCAGTTGCAGGAATACGGTGACAGGACGCTCAATCTTCATCTTGTGATAGGGGGGTGTCCGGAACACAATGGCATACTGGGGAAGGGACATACAGGGTGTCAGTGGGGCCTTTGCCTAGTTCAGCCCTGTACCTCAGTCCCGGCCCCGGCCCCTGGGTACCTGTTTATGAACATCTGTGGGAGAGAAGTCCCCGAAGGCCTGCCATCCATTTTCATCATCCTCGTAGAAACGGACCTCAATGTCATCTAAAGGGAAAACTGAAGCCTGGCCACAGCTCCAGGTGGAAGCTCTAGGGCCACTTGTCCTGGAGCTACCCTGCCTGCCCAGCCCTGGCCCCCAACCTTGATGCCCTGTATCCTTAGCTCCCAGCCTGGACTTCAGCCTCACCTTTCTGCACCTTATCACAAAGCAGATAAACTTCATCACCACCCCGCACAGAGCCAGCTGTCTTGTCCATTCTCGAAATCTTCAGATTCGAGGCCCCAGGAGACTCTAGGGGACAGAGCATCGATTAGTTGAGATGATACGATAGCCATGGCATGTTTATGGAGCCAGGCGCTTTTGTATTCATTAACTGAACAATGTCAAGAGATTCAGGAATCGCATGTCCCCATTTACCAAAAACAGAAGGGACACTCGGGGAGAAATGACTTGTTCAGCATCACTCAGCTCATAAAGACAGGTTGAAATGCAGGTTTATCTGCTTCCACAGCTGGAGGTTGCCCCTATGCCCCCTTGGCCACCCAGGCCTGGCCCCTCAGGCAGTGAGGATACTCACTGCTGTCGTGGATGGGGTGGGAGATAACTGGCTTCAGGGGCAAGGAGAAGGAGCCGTCGCTGGCTCGAAGGAAGGCAGAGAAGCGCAGCCGCACGATACTCAGATCCATCACCTTCTTCAGCTCCTTGGCCTCCTGCTCCAGCTCCCGCCGCTCAGCATCTGGCGAGTGGGCACGTGTGATCCCTGGGCTTCTCCTCCTTCCCTACTTCTCCATGGCCACCTCCCATTACTCCTGTCCCTTACCAGTAAGGCCCTGGGGCCTGGAGCGGAGTCGCTGCCTCTGAAGTTTCTGTGTCATAATCTCCATCATGTTCTTCTTGGTCACATGCAATACTCCCAAGTTGTTAAACCTAAGGGATGGGGAGGGGGGTCAGAGGCCTTTGCCCATGCAGTTCTTTCCTCCTGAAGCACCCTCCCCACTGCCCGGGCTCAGCTTAGCTCAGCCCTACTTCTTCAAGGAAGCTTTCCTTCCTTTTTCTTGAGGCTTTGGGATCTGGGGCCAACCTAAGTCTTTCCTCTTGGTCAGAAATTAAGCTCCCAGAGGTGGGCTGGGTCACACAAGTGGGGGCCAGGGGTAAAGGGCACCTACTGGGCAGTCATGTCCTTGGGCCCCACAGACACAGTGCAGACCCCCAGCTCCGAGCATTGCTTGCCCACTAGGCTGTGGGCGTGAGCGCGAGGCGGGTCACTGTGTGTTACCAGGTCCACCTCGATCTTCGCTGGTCCCTCGTAGTTACAGATCTGGGAGGGGCAAGGGCTATCAGTGATGCTCCTGGATACGTTGTCCACTAACCCACCCTCCAGCACCACCCTGGCTCACCTTGACAGTAGGATAGGTCTTCCGACCTTTCTCACTGGAGGCACCTGGCAGTCCTCCATGGGAGGGTCCTTCGCAGCCATAGCGAAATCGGAAGCCTCGCTGAAGGTCCAGGGGCAGAGTGACATTGTGATCAGGAGAGACCACCCCAGCCAGTCACACTCCTGGCCAGCAGTGACCACGATGACCAGCAGTATCTGCCCTGAACCACAACCACACCACTGTGATCAGCAGCAGTCAACCATGCCAGTCTTCAGTGGCCTCCCTGGGCAGTGATCTCACATGGCCACCCAGCTACAACTACCCACTCTCCTGCAAGGCTGGAGCCATCCCACACCATACCTTCTGCTCACTCACCTGCTTAGGTTGCTCCACAATCACCAGGTAGGGGCCATCAGCTGGGGACAGAGGGACCTCCTGAGCCGGGCTCTATGAGCCCCTCCCCCAGGCAGAGGGCACATGGTCTTCCCTCCCTACTCCTTCTCCAACACGGGTGGTTAGGGAGCTTGCAAACCTGTCTCTGGGGCCGGCTCCTTGGGCTCCACAATGGAAGGGTTGAATTTGAAATCATATTCCATGATGCCATCCAGAGCCTGGTTTGGAGAGATGGGGGTCGGGGGGAGGCGGCACAGCCGATTCTGAGCTACCCCCACAGCCCTCCCCTCCTGGCTCTAAACACCACCCCCCACCCCAGGCCCATGAGAAAGCGCCTCTGGAGGCAGAATTTGCAGGCAGACAGGCAGGCAGAGGATGGCTTGGAAGGGCCTTAGGGTAGGCACTGTGAGATCTGGGAGCAGGACAGATGGAGAAGGCAACAGATAGACACGCCTGGCAGGCTGAGATCAGCGGAGACGCAGACAGCTGTAGGGGAGAGAGGGGGTTCCGGCAACACGCAAGCAGACAGGGAGGTAGGGAGGTAGCCGGCCAGCGTCAGGGCCAGGCGGCGTGACTCACTGGGTCGTAACAATGGTCCATATCTTTGGGCTGGGCTCGGCTCTGTCTATAGCTTCAGCCGGGTTCTGCTTCCTAGAGTTTCAGGTGCTCGCCTTGAGGTAAGGGGGACGGCGGGGAGAGACGGATCAGGCCAGGGGTGGGCGGGAGAGAGGGGCCCCAGGTTTGGGGGAGGGTCCGATCTCCTCCAGCCGCCCGTTCGAGTGTCGCGGGCGAGATCCGGTGGAGGGCGAGATCGGGAGCTGGGCTGGGCGGGCGAAGGGGCAGGAAAGTTAGAGCAGCTTAGGAAAGTCCCGAAAATACCAGGGGGAGGCGGGGCCGGAGGGGGCGGGCCTGGAAATGACGCCACTGGCCCCGCCCCCGAGGCGGGAGGGGAGCGAGGCCCTGTCCCGCTGGTGCGCCCAGCAGCGTCTACCTGGGCTGGGGGTGTCGTAGAGCCAGGGAAGCCCTCCAGGGCAGGCGCCGGGGACTGGAGGGTATTTCACGGCCGGCGGAGGCTCCCAGTCCGGGACCAGGCCCGCCTCCCGTCCTCCTCCCCTCCCTCGGCCTGGAGCAACCTTGGGATTTTCTGCCAGGAGGGAGGCTACGGCTGATTCACCCTGGGGGCTTTTGGGGGACATTCCTGCTGTAGGGAGGACCCCACTCTGAATGGCCTGTAGGTGGGGTTCTTCCCAGCGGGGGACCCCGGGGTTCTGCCCCAAGAATGGAGCTTTGGGGACCGTGGCGGGAGGCGTCTCCTCCTTGGGGGCAGGTTCCTCTTCCCTCTCCCCGAAACATCGCAACGGCTATTGATTCCCACCTTGCACCGGCTCTGGGTGCTGAAGAGACGGGCAGACCCCTGTACGTCGCCCCCCACCCCCCATCCCAGAGCTGTGCGTCTCCATCACAGGTATAGAAGTGTGTTTGTGCCCGGGTGCATGCTGTGTGTGCACGGCGTCAACATACGTGTGTGTGCAAATGAACGTGTCTGTGTGCAGGTGAGCGTCCCTAAGCTTCTGTGGGTGGGTACTTGTCTGAGCATGTCTTGATATGTAAGGGCACAGATGAGTGCTTGTGCGTGAAGGGTGTGGGTCCAAGCACTCGTGCACGGGTGGACACGTCTGCATGTGCTTCTGTGTGCGAGTCCGGGTGCATGGACGCTGCTTGGGTACGCCGGCATTAGTGCAGGTGGATGTCCAGGTCTGCGTGTCTCCGTACAAGGATGTGGCTGTGTATCCGTGTGTCTTGTTCGTGTGCGTGCTTTGGGTGTGCGCATACCTCTAGCCCTGGGGTTCGGTCAGTTAAAGGCCCTCCTCCCGCCCTTCCTCTCGTCCCGGCCACCCAAGGGTCTGAACTCGGCCACTCACCGCGGCGGCGGCTCCGGTTCCTGGTCCTCTCTTGGCCCGACCCGCCGCGGACGGGTCGCGACACCACTCCAGCCACCAGGGCTCCGGCCGGGAAAACCCCTTTTCCGCCCCCCGGAGGGGGGAATTCCCGTGACGTTTCTGTACGTCACGCCCCATGCCCTTTTCCATTGGCTAAAAGTTTAACTCCTGGACCTGCGCGTCCAATCGGGAGCGATTTAGGGGCCCCCTTTAGAGGGCAAAGATTCGCGTTGGGCGGGGAGAATGGCGTGGGGATGACGGTCCGCCAGGCTGGGGCTATGGCCGGGGATTGGCCAGAGGCGGGACCTGTTGGTCGAACACCAGCCATAGCCCCAACCCCGGCCAAAGGCCCGGCCTGGGTCTCCTCGCCCGCCCAGGCCTGCCTGGGCCTCTGCTGCGCCTGACGCTAAACCGCATTTGAAGCCGGGGAAGCCCGGGGGGAAGCCGCCGGCGTCAGCTCTCCAGTCTCCCGCCCGGAGCCGGACCCCGCTGCCGGGAAGAGTTAGGGGAAGAGGAAAGAAGCTGATCTTGCGGTCGGTCCCGGGGCGCCATCTGGCGTCCTCTTTAGGCACCGGCGCCGCAAGAAGACTTCGTAACCTCCTCCCTCCTCTATTGCTCAATCTCTTTACTCAGCCTCCGGCCCTCGTGGCCCCTTACTAAGTGGCAGGTCCACATGGGGCCAGGCTTTCAAGCCGACCTGAGCTCTGGAGCTCTGCGCGCAGAAAGGGGAATGGATATTTATTTGGTAGACACCGGCCTTGCCCCTCCATCACGATCTGGAATATTAGAATTGAAGAGGTGTCCCAAGTCTAAACAGTTTCAACTTCTTCCGAGGTAGGAAATAACCTCTTACATACTTCCCAACTTCTGCTTAAACACGTAGTGGCAGCGGGGTCAGTACAATATTTCACAAAGCACTGACTTAGTAGCTGGACATCTCTGGTTGGTAGAGGCTCTCATTCGAAGGAGCCCTTAGTAATCTTCCTTCCTGGAGTCATCCACCCTAGGCTCGCGCAATAGAACATGGGCTGTTTCAGGTCTCTCCTGCAACTTGCCGCTGACCTTAAGAAAGGAACTGAAGGCCTGCAGTAACACCGAATAAAGGGAGACTCTTAAATGGCCCTTGATTTGGGCCATTTCCTGTTACTTGCCTCTCCTCTTCATCTTGTCCACAAATGGAATGTGCCAGGTATTGTGTTAAGGTACTTTAGTATAAGTTCTTATTTTTCTTCCCAACAACCATAGGAGGTAAATATTACCTTTACTGACGAAGAAATGAAGGCTCAGAGAAGTGAAGTAACTCAACCACACAGGCAGAAAGGAACAGAGCCAGGATACAAACCCAGTTTGTTGACTCCAGGCCAAAGTTCTCTCCTGTAAGTGTATATAAAACAAAGCAGTCTTTTCCACCCTACTATAGGGTCACTATGAGTTGGAATCGACTCCACGGCAATGGGTTTTTTTGGTTTGGTGGGCCTCTCTAAGAGGAGCCGTGGTGGTGCAGTGGTTAAGAGCTTGGCTGCTAACCAAAAGGTGAGCAGTTCGAATCCACCAGCCACTCCTTGGAAACCCTATGGGGCAGTTCTACTCTGTCCTATAAGATAACTATGATTCGTAATCGACTGGACGGCAAAGGGTTTGGTTTGGTTTTTGGTGGGCCTCTCAGTGGGAGAAAGATGTGGCAGTCTGCTTCTGTAAAGATTTACAACCTTGGAAACCCTATGGGGAAGTTCTACTCTGTCCTACAGGATCACTATGAGTTGGAACGGACTTGACAGCAGTGGATTTGGTTTTTGGTTTGGTGGGCCTCTCAGGCAAATATCATATTTGCTGTCAAATAATTTGCTAAAATCCGGGTACATTGTCTACCACATTCTCCTGGCAAATATTCTTAACCCTTAAACTAAAATGGAATGAGGTTAGGTTGGTATACACCAATTTAGTGAACCTGTGCTGGCTGCCTTTGAGCACAACAGTCCTTTCAAAGTGCTCATAAACTACCTGCTCAAATTGGCACAAATCCTTCCAATCCCACATCTCTAAAAGAACCCCTAAGGTTTGAGCTATTTTAGTTATAAGATTCTGAGCTGTAATTTACCTGGAAATTGAAAAAAAAAAAAAAAAAAAAGACTTTATTATAGAAATTTTCAAACATATAAAAAATGCAGAGAATAGTATACTGAACCCCCATGTACCCATTAGCAGCTCCAACAAGTCTCAACTCATGCGGGCCTCGAGATGTTTACTGACTCAGAGTAGTTTATTGTCTGTTGCTATAGCTTCACCTATCTGGGCTTAAGAAACTGCCTCATTGTTCCACCAATTTTCAACATAATAATCATTTGTATTTCTGCACCCAGCTCTAGCATAACACCTGGCCCAGAGCAGATGCACCATAAATTCACTGCATTCATTCACCAACAAATAGGGCCACCCTACAAAACAATGTCCCTGCTTACAGAGAGCTTGTGTTCTAGTAGGGGAGACAGACAAAAATCAAATAGATGTATGTTGGTGACAAGTACTATGGAGAAAAATAAAGCAGGCAAGGGGATAGTGATAAGGGTTTTCTATACAGCAGCCAGGGAAAGACTCTCTGATGAGGTAACATTTGAACAGTGACTTGAAAAAAGTGAGCGAGGGAGCCATGTGGGTATCTGGGGGAAGAGCATTCTAGGTCATGAACCAGCAACTGCAGAAGTATAATATGAGTGTGTTTGGCTTCTTTGAAGAACAGGAAGGAGGTCAGGTAGGTGGAATGAAGTAAGAATGGTTTATTCTGAATGAGATGGAAAGCCACTGGAGGATTCTGTGCAGTGGAGTGAAAATGATACATGTTTTAAAAAGCTCTATTTGGCTGCTATGTGGAGAGTAGAGAGTGTAGAGGACTAGGATAAATAAGGGAGACCAGTAGTTCCATAAATGGTGGCTTGGATGGTGAGTGAGAATTGTGACAAGTGGTCAGACTCAGAATAGATCTGAAAGATAAAAGCAACAGGAATTGCTGAGGGTTTGGATGTAGGATGTAAAAAAAGAGGGGAGGTTTTGGCATAAAAATCTGGAAGAATGGAATTGTCCTTTCCTGGTACAGGGCAGAACAGAGGAGGAACAGATTTGTAGGGGTAATCAAGAATTTTTCTCTTAGTGTCTGGGTCTTAAAAGCCTGTGAGCAGCCATCTAAGATACTCCACTGGTCTCACTGCTTTGGGAGCAAGGGAGAATGAAGAAAACAAGATACAAGGGAAAGATTAGTCCAAAGGACTAATGGACTACAACTACCATGGCCTCCACCAGACTGAGTCCAGTACAACTTGCTGGTGCCTGGCTACCACCACTGACTGCTCTGACCGGGATCACAACAGAGGGTCCCGGACAGAGCTGGAGAAAAATGTAGAACAAAATTCTAACTCACAAAAAAGACCAGACTTACTGGCCGGAGACTGGAGAAACTCCGAGAGTATGGCCCCTGGACACCCTTTTAGCTCAGTAATGAAGTCACTCCTGAGGTTCACCCTTCAGTCAAAGATTAGACAGGCCCATAAAACAAAATGAGACTAATGGGGCATAACAGTCCAGGGACAAGGACTAGAAGGCAGGAGGGGACAGAAAAGCTGGTAATAGGGAACCCAAGGTAGAGAAGGGAGAGTGTTGACATGTTGTGGGGTTGTTAACTAATGTCACAAAACATATGTGTACTGTTTAATGAGAAATTATTTTTTCTGTAAACCTTCATCTAAAGTATAATTTTAAAAAAAAAAAGAATCTCTTTACGTTTGTTATATTTGAGATGCCTATGCAGCACGCAAATGGGGATGTTGAGGGACAAGTGGATATGAGTCTGGAGTTGAGAGGAGGAGTCAGGCTGGAGATGGAAAGTTGGGAGTTGGATATAAAGTCAGTGTAATGGATAGTATTCAAAGCCTTGGCAGTGGATGAGAGCACTGAGAAGGTGAGTATAGAGGAGGATTTGAGGACTGAGTCCTGGGGCGTTCTCTTGTTCAGAGGCCATGGAGATGAACAGGTGCCAACAAGGGAAATTGAAAAGGCTTGGTCAGTGAGGTGGAGAAAAACTAGTTTCTCAGGAGCCAGTGAAGAATATTTCGAGGAGGGAGTGATCAACTCTTTACTCGAACTAAAGCTACTTCTCCACAACTGAAGCCCAGGGGCTGAGGGGTTCTGCTTTTTCATGGACACTTGTCTCCCAAGCAGTGAGCCCTGAACAAAGGTAAATATCTATGGGCTCTAATAACCACATTTTTTGTTGTTCTTAGCATTTTTTTGGATGGGCATGTGCCCGCTGTGGCTCATTCTGTAATTCATCCTTCCTGATATCATTCTTATGGACTCAAAATATTTATTCTTGGTTATGTGTACCTCTTTCCAATTTTCATATACTCCTACTAAACTCTGAGCTCACTAGGTAATAGCCTGTAGAGCCAATGGTTTCTTCAGAGCCCTGACCATTTTTATTTCTCATTAGAAGCTACAGATAATGTCCCCTGGAGGGTTTCTACAGCACCATCGCCATTATATTTGAACTGAGGAAGTGTCATAAGAAAGACTGTGAAGTTTGCAGTGAGACAGACTTGGGTTTGAGACCCAACCCAACTCCCTCAATTCCCAGTGACCTGCCCTCTCTGAACCTATTTCCTCATCTGTAAGAAGAGCAAATACCTTTAAAGGTTGCTTGAGCATTGCACTTAATACTGACACATAATGGTGCTCTACAAATGTCAGCTCTCCATGTGAGCCTCTTAGGTCACGGAGCCATCTCTAGCTTTCCTCTTGACTTTCTGAAATCTGCCCTCCTAGAGTTCTGGTAGGAGATGTGATTAAGACCAGCATTTTCCTCTAGTTACACTACCACTTTCCCCCAAGGTTTTTGTCACTTCCATATCACCAAGCCATTCTTCCTTGTTGGTCAGAATTAAGGAGTGAGCAGTAGTTCCTCTTGTAGCTTCCTCTGCCTTCTAAGAGACAACACTGTCAACAACACAAGTCATGCATGCGTCAGCTGCTCTTTTTATAACAGAATGAGACTTCCGGCAAATGTTTTTCTTTGCCACCCAGTGAGGAGAGGGTCAGTTTGCAATCTCTCTAGCTTCTTTCCTAATTTTTGCAGACCAACTGAGGGACATAGGCTTGTCATATTCCTTTGTTCACAGCTTGGTAGCTATAGTGTTTGCAGCAGCCAACACTGTTTTCCTCAAAGGGAAACCCCCCTGGAAGCGTCTAAAGGCAGAGCCTGTGGGGCTCTGGACAGAGACACTATAGCTGAGGCCAAGGATTCTAGTGTCTACCTGGCCATAGATCACAGCCCCTAGCTCTACCCTCTGCCCCTAGCTCTATCCCCTGCTCCTCCTAATTTGTCCCAAGGTCGGGGTCAGGCATGGCTTCTGGGTAGTATGGAAACTGAGCATGGTCTGGACTTGGGGAAGAAGGGAGGGAAGAGGGAGAATGTAGTCTAGGAGCTTTAGGTCTCATCTCTTAGTATTTTTCCACATCAGGCTGTTCCCGTTTCTAAGAGGCCCTTTTCTACCCCCGAGGGAGGTGCTTACAGAGGTCCAAACTCCCACAACACCCACATAAAAGTGCTGATCAAAGAGAAGCCTGAGGTACTGATTATCATACAGCCAGATAGGCCCCAATGAAGAGAGTGAGTGCCCCTAACTCTCCATGAGGGAGGCCAGCTGGTAGTACAACAGGGTACCATTCCCCACCTGAGAGGAGGAGGCCAAGACGATATAGATGCTTTATATGGGAAGGCTTAATACACAACATTCTCCTTCCCAACCACAGCACCTCAACCCTGCCCACTCCTTGCAGGGCCACACTGCCTGCCCCATGCACACTCCTACCTGTCTTACCCTCACTCACAGAGAAAGAAGGGGAGGGGCCCTCTAATCATGCATCATCCCAGTGATTGGGATGGATGAGGGTTATGGGGCTGGGAGAAATTGTTCCTTCTCAGTTTGGGGCCAAAACGAATGTCTTATACCCAGAAACACACAACTGTGAACAAGATGGTCCCCCCTCCATGGGCTTCTTTGTGCACCTGGACCATGAGGCACATTGCAGGGAAATCTTCTGAGTAACTACAGCTCAGCTCTGACTCATCTTCCCTCTGACCCCAGTCCAGGTAGTCTAGGGGTATCTCCCTTGGAGAAGTTAGAGAGAGGACACTGCCCAAGCCCCTGGCACACTGGTAACAAGGGTGCACTGCTGTAGTGGTGGTAGGGGTGGAAGCACTGGTGAAGGACTCACTCCTGATGCCAGTCCTGACGTGTGGCTGGCTGGCTAATGGCCAGGGGCCATGTGGCTGGCTGGCTAATGGCCAGGGCCATGTGGCTGGCTGGCTAATGGCCAGGGGCCATGTGGCCAGACCACTGGTAGGCTCAGCCTCACTGTACCTCTGTTCATGCAAGGACCAAAAGCCCTGGGCAGCCCAGTGACATGGTACCCTGACCCACAAGCTCAGGAAGGAAGCTGGAGGGAAAGGCAGTGATGTTGGTACTAAGATATTTATTACATCATAAAAGTCCATTGTTGTCCTGTTTTTCCATATGTACATGCTCCTGTGGACAGTCCCCACTGCCCAGCCCCACCTGTCCACCCACCATGGTGCCAATCAACTCTCCAAACTGACCAACTAATTAATAAAAGAGGAAGAACTGGAGGAGGTGGCCCAGGGCTGATGGGAGTGGGTATGGGAGAGGGAAACGAAAGTGCAGAGTGGTTGGGCTTGGATCTCATTGCCTGACCATGGCAGGAGGGACACATGGGCACCACAGGGTTGGCACAGTGATGCCTGCCCAGAGCTGCCAGGCTGGAGGCAGAGGCTGCAGATGATACCTGAGTGGGCTCTCAGGTTGGGCCCCCAGGAATGGAGAGCAGAGGAGGAAGGAGGTCCTGCAGTCTGATTGTACGTCCCAGGAGGGGCTGTAAAAGTTTTCCTCTTTTTCTGGTCCTCATCCAAGTGGCAGCAACAGCAGCTCGGGCTGGGCCTGTAGAGTTTGTGGCTCCTGGGACAGCTGGGGGTGGGGGGTGCGAGGATAGCCTGGTAGGAAGTACTGGTCCTGATTTCTGCCTTAGTTGACCTCGGAGGTGGGCATGGGGTCTGTGGGGCGGGGTGTGGCTAGAAGGGGCACTGGTGAGGTGGCTTCGATGAGTGCAGGGTTGAGGATGATGGGAAGAGTCATGGGTGGCACACCCACCTGCAGTGGGGAGGCCAAGGGCTGCAGGATCAGGGGGTGCTGAGCCAGGGGTGGAGGCCCATCTGGGGTAGGGCTGAGCTTGCTGGGGCTAGAGACCACTGGTGATCCAGGGGAGCTGCTACTGGTGGCTCGGGGGCCCTCAGGCTTCTCAAAGTCTATCGGGAGAGCAAAGTGGCTGCAGTCAGACTCCCTTGCTGACACAGGATAACTCTCATATTCCCCAGCTAGTTATCCCTTCTTCTTCCCCATCCCTGTGAGCCAATGACTCAACCCAGGCTAAATAGTTAGGAGTCCTAAAACTCATTCCAATGTCCAACCACCTAATGTCTACCCTGCACCTCCTTTGCTCTACCACCCACCCCTCGTCAGGTTAATTTTGGTCTAGTCTTTATTAGAATCCCTTAAGGGCAACCTTTTTGTATTCATTCCAAGTCCCTGCCCCAGCCTTTCCCTCCCAAGCCTGAAAATGTCAAGCAGCTAGCTCATCATAGTTTACTTGGTCCTGCCATTTCCCACAGGAAGAGCAGGCAAGCAGGGTTCTCTGGGTCCTCCTTTCCCTGGTTCACAGCCCATGCTCAGCAGCAACCCCAAGCTACCCTGAGCCTCCTCTTAGGCCTCCTGCTTCCTGCCCAATACCCAGCAGGCTAACCCACAGGGACTTACCACAGGCTCCTGGCTCAGAGGGCATCTCTGGGGGAGGTGGATGGCCAGGTGTCTTGGTGTCGCCAGCAGCAGGAGTCAGGTGGGCTGAGGCCACAGGTTTTGGGGCATGAGGCTCCATAGGCATGGGGTCTGGGGAGGGTAGAGAATCCAGACGACAGCTCTTAGTGCTTGCTTTCCAGCAAAGCCCTGGCTGCCCACCAGTCTTTCCACAACTTAGGGCACAGAGAACTAATTCAGCTCCAGGCTTAAGAGCTTTATGGGTCCTTCTTGAAGTTAGGCTGAACCCCCTACCCTGGATGACAGTCTGCTTGAAGAGCTCATCTCGTAGGTGGGGCAGGAAACAGTCAATGCGCTCCCATGTGATTTCCCAGAGGGCTGAAGGGCCACCTCCTCGTGCATCTGCACTGTGGAAAATCTCTGCTGTGTCCATCACCAGGAGCATGTTCTTCAGAGACTCAGGGATGGCCTCTGACTGCAGGGGCAGCAGGACCATGAGAACAGGAAAGGAGACATGGGGAAGTATGGCAAGGGGGAGGTAGCTACCAAGGGGGGAACCAGCAAGTCTTCCCAGCAGGTAAGAGAGGAAGCAGGCATAGGCTGAGGTGAAACATACCAGCAAGTCACTGGAGCCTGCATGCATGTACTTGTCCATGAAGTCCAGGATGGTAAGCCAGAGGGCCGCAAAGGTAGAGAGTGACAGCAGTGGAGACAGGTGCTGCAGGAAGACCTACGGCCCGCCAGCCATTTCAGCCGAGGGTAGCGTAGGAGCCTTTTGCACCCCTCTCCAAGCCTGGGAGGCACGTCTGCCCTATCTTGCATGGATCTCCGAGAGCCAGAATCCTCCTGGGTCCCTGGGTCCTGCTGAGTCTCTATTGTTGGGGGTCCTGAGCATCTACCCTGCATCCCTATGTCCTACCAGAGGCCCTGGCTTCCTTTCTTAGGAAGAGGTAGGTGTGGGGAGAATGGGCCAGAGGAGATGGGCATAGGATGGCAAGCAGTACCTTCGAGAGCAGTGTGGAGGCCCTCATCCGAGTTTCCTCCATCCCGCCCACATCTGCAGGACTAATGTTCTCCAAGAGCTTGGTCAGCAGAGGAAACAGCACCTGGTGGGTAAATATCCAACATCTCCAGCAGGGTCAGCTGGGCAGCTTTGCCCCAAGGAAGCCAGAGGCTGGGGTGGATGGGTACAGAGCAGGAGGAAAGCATATGATACAGGCTGAGGACTGACATTAGCGGCTCTTCAGGCTACCTGGCTCTCCTTGACTTAAAGATTTAAACTTTATCTTAAGACCATCGGGAAGTCTTACCTTGTTAAAACAGGACTCCCATTCCAGGGCGTCCAGCTTTTGCAAATCATGTACCAGTAGTGCTCGCTGCAGATAGGTCAGTGCCTGCATCCGCACCTGGCGCCGGGCATCACAGCACAGGCAGGCAATGCCTGAGAACAAGAACAGGGTCAGGATCCCTTCAGGCCCCTAGTCCGGGTGCTTCTCAAGCTCCAGCTCTACCCCTGCCCCTTTCCCTGCCTGCTCCCCTGAGGGTTACCCTGCAGTAAAGGGCACCAACAGTGGGCCCAGAGGGTGCGGGAATCTGCTTCGATCTTCTGGCCACCTGTCTCCAGGTGGCGCTGTTCCTCCGCCCATGAGCTGTAGATAGAGGCCGCCCGCGTGTGCAGGGTGTGCATCAGGTCTAGCAACTGGGATCACAGGAAAGGGTAGGAAATGAGTGGGGTTAGGCCTGGAAAACCCTCTTCCCCGCCCCGCCCCCCCCACTGTCCCTGACTGAGTCCTCAGGGAGGGCCCTAGCACCAATCATGCCATACTCCACTCCTCTCAACAGTACCCCTTTCCTGGACTTTATGAGCTGGTTGCCCGAGTCCTGGGTAGTGTTTCCTTCCCAAAGTGTGGGTCAGGTATTACTCAAGACAGAGGAGATTTTAGGAGGTGCATGGACTAAGTAATAACACTGAGCTACATAGTGAGAAAACTTTCTTTTCAATTCTATTTCACACCTTCTCATGATAGAAAAAGCCTCTTTTTGTTAATCTCATTTTAAAAACAGAAAGCAAACTTCAGACTCAGAGGTTCTGATGGGCAAAATGGCCAGATTTAACATAATTTTTCTATGGTTATTCTATTAAATACATTTTATATGCCTGTATAGACACTGGAAGGCTACATATGAAACTGGTGGCAGTGGCTGTCCCTGGGGAGGGGAACTTAGTAGCTAGGGACAGGAATAGAACGGAGACTTGCTTTTTTCTCTCTATCCTTTTATACCTTTTGAACTTTGAACCATGTGCATATATTACCTATTCAAAAAATAGATAAACTTTAATTTAAAAATAAATTTAAGTGAAAAAAGAGTTACAGTTGGTCTTGGATAAGGGGAATAATGTGAAGATGATGGTTGAGGACCTGGGATAAGAAACATGGGCCCTTCCTCTCAGCCCTTGCTTTCCCTGGCTCCACTCGGGCTCCCGACATCAGGTGCAGGGTGAGGAGAGGAAGTAAAGGGTGCCATACTTACGTCCTGACTGACCTGTAAAGACACCGTATGGTAGCTGGCAGGCACACCTTCATCCTCGTCATCATCACTATGCCCGCCCCGAGTAGCATGTTGGCTGAAGGTTCGAGGCCGTCGAAGCACTGAGCCCTCCTTGGATTTCTTCTTGAAGCGGTTTACTTTGCTGTCATATTTGTGACTCTTGCTCCGTTTCTCCTGGGACTTGTACCCTAAGCAGAGCCGGACCCAGGTCACACTTCCACATCTATGTGCACAGATACCCTACCTTTTCCTCCCGTCTCCATGCGCTCCCTGTATATTCATGTGGCTATTCCCCATTGCCCCTTCATCAGGTGACCCACCGCCATTCAGACTGGCCTCCACAAAGATGCGGAGGGTCTTGACGCAGAGCTCAAAGTTATCAGGTGTGATGTGGGCAGCGTCACGCACAATGAAGGACAGTGATTCCACACACTTGAGCAGGGACTTAGTGTCATGTGGCCCCAGGTCCAGCCCCACTGTTAGGCTGTACTGATTGACCAGGGGTGAAGAGCCTGGCCTGTTGAGCCCAGGCCCTGGCTTGGAGTTATCGATGTCGTCCTTCCCCACCTGAAAAGTACACAGAGAAGCTGGGTATCCAGGCTTGACCTCAATCTACCCCACTGATGCCCTTTCAGAGGATTAGGAATCTTTCCCAAAGGCCAAGGAAGTAAAACTCACCCTCTGCCCATACCCTCACTCACCACTAACCAACCGCTGTTGACCACATCAGCATCTGTGGCTGATCGGTGTATCTTGCCCGGCCTGCCATGGTCAGTGTAGACCTCTGAGTCAGAAGTGTAACCTCGGTCCAGGCTCACATCATTTGGATGGTAGGATGGGAGCTCACTGTCTGACTGAGCCCCTGGGCCAGGCAGGGAGAAGGGCAGAGTCAAGGTGGGGATGGTGACATTGGGATAAGGGATAAATTAGGCTCTCAGAAGAAGGGTGCTAAGCCTGACCTCCCCTCTCTGACCTGGCTTAGTTTCAGCCCTGTCACCAGAGAGTTGAAGGATGGGCTCAACATTTTCTCTCTTGACCAGATAGGGCAGCAGGCTAATTTGGGCTCCTGATGGCAGCTAGTAGCAGCTGTAGGGGGTAGAGGTTGGTGGTGGCAAGGACATAGTGTCTGGGAAAATAGTCCTCAGGGGAGCAGGAAGCCTGGCTTTCATAGCCTTCTCCATTGCCTACTTGCCTTCATGCTATTTGACCTGTGTGTACTAGGAAACCCTGGTGGTATAGTGGTTAAGAGCCATGGCTGCTAACCAAAACGCCGGCAGTTTGAATCCACCAGGTGCTCCCTGGAAACTCTGTGGGGCAGTTCTACTCTGCCCTATAGGGTCGCTGTGAGTCGGAATCGACTCAACAACAACGGGTTTTAACGGGTAGTAGGGAGAGGCCAGTGGGCACTGGAAGGAGATGGCAGAAGCCAGGAGTGTTTAATTTGCCAAATGCAATAACCTGTGTTTTGTTTTCCTGCCCCAGCCCCTGGGGCTGTAACTATTTATCTGCCAGTGTGGGTCTCCCTGGGAACGGGCTTACCTGCATCAGGTGCATCAGCCCTGGCTGTGGCCTGCAGGGCAGCTGGAGGCTTCACGCCTGAGCCAATGCACTCCAGCAGTGTGAATAGGGTAGCCCAATCATCTCCTGAGTGGATGTTGGCTGCATTAGTCTTAAGGAGTTCATGGAGCCCGTAGGCAACCTGGTGGCTGACTCGGGACAGCACACTGGGCTTCATCAGCAGCAAAATGCGCAGGGAGAGCAGTACCTAGGGTGGGGAGCAGGAGAGGAAGTGGGAAGTGGGCACACAGCTTCCTGTCTAGTCTCCTTCCCCACCAGTGAGGAGAGTTTGGCTAGGAACTAACTTAGGGCACTGCTAGTGGTATTTTCCTTTTATTAAAAATTTTACTGAGATAATTGTAGATTCATACACAGTTGTAAGAAATAATACAGAGCGATACCTTATACACTTTATCCAGTTTATCCTAATGGTGACATTATACAAAACTATAGTATAATATCACAAGCAAGATACTGACATTGATACAATTTACTAACCTTATTCAGATTTCCCTGGTTTTTACTTGTACTCATATGTGTATGTCTAAGAGGGTATATTCAGTCCTGTACAATTTTATCACCTGTGTAGGTTCGTGCATTCTACACGAAACTCAACAATTCCAACAACACAAGGACCCTTGTAATCACATCACCTCCCTCCTGCTCCCACCCGTAATTCCTGGTAAACTATCTTCAACTTCTAAAATTTTATCACTTAAAAATGTTATATAAATGGGATTATATAGTATGTAACCTTTTTGGGATTGGCATTTTTCATTTAGTATAATTCCCTGGAGATTTATCTAAGTTGTAGACTGTAGCAATAGCATTACATGGTATGGATGTACCACAGTCTAACTATTCCCCTCTTGAAGGTCATCTGGACTGATTCTAGTTTTTGGCTGTTACAAATAAAGCTGCTTTTTTACTGTTGAGTTTTGAGAGTTTTTTATTTTAAGTAGCCCTGGTGGCACAGTGGTTAAAGCGATCAACTACTAACCAAAAGGCTGGCGGTTTGAAACCACCAGTGGCTTCAAGGGAGAAAGATGTGGCAGTCTGCTTCTGTAGAGATTTACAGCCTTGGAAATCCTATGGGGTCACTATGAGTCAGAATTGACTCGATGGCAGTGGGTTTTGGTTTTATATATTTTAGATACTAGTCCTTTGTCAGATATGTGGTTTGCAGATATTTTCTCCCAGTCAGTAGCTTGTCTTTTCATCTTCTTCACATGGGACTTTCACAGAGCAAAAGTTTTTAATATTGATGAAGTCCAATTTATCAAATTTTTTTTTTTTTATGGATTGTGCTTTTGATGTCAAGTCTAAGAACTCTTTGTCTAGCCCCAGATCCCGAAGATTTTTCTCCTATGTTTCTTTCTAAAAGTTTTATTGTTTCACATTTAAATCTATGATCCATTTTGTGTAAATTTTTGTATAAGGTGTGAGGTTTAGATCAAGGTTCATTTTCTCCCCTATGGATTTCAATTGCTCCAGCACTATTTGTTGATAAGGCTATACTTTCTCCATTGAATTGTTTTTGCACTTTGTCAAAAATCAGCTGAGCAATGATTAATGTAGTTGATATCACTAAATTGTACACCTGAAAAATACTGAATTGGCAAATGCTATGTATGTTCTTACAACAATGAAAAAAAATCAGTTGAGCATATTTGTGTGGGTCTATTCTGGGTCCTTTTGCTCTGTTCCATTAATCTATGTCTATCTTTCCACCAGTACCACACAGTGTTGCTTACTATAGCTACAGTAAACCTTAGTATCAGTGATTTCTCCCACTTTATTCTTTTGTCAAGATTGCTTTGGCTATTCTCCATATAAATTTTAGATTAAGCTTGTCTATGTCTACAAAAAACCTTGCTGGGATTTTGACAAGAGTTACGTTGAAAGTACAGATCAATTTGGGGAGAAATGACATCTTTACTGTTTGAGTCTTCTAATCCATGGACACGGTATGCCTCTTCAATGATTTCTTTGATTAGCATTTTCTAATTTTTAGCATACACATCCTATATATGTTTTGTTGAGTATACACCTAAGTGTTTCATTTTATTTGGAGTGATTATAAATAATAGTGTGTTTTTAATTTCAGTTTCCATATGTTCATTGTTAGTATATAGAAATATGATTGATTTTTATGTGTTTATCTTGTATCCTGTGACCTTACTAAACTCGATTATTACTCTATGCCTGTGGTCTTCTGTAGTTGGGCCAACAGAGCTCAGGAGGGCCCTAAACATGAGAGCCAGGAAATCAGGTACAGGACCAGGACTGCCACAAGGCAGCAGCAGTTCAGTCCTATACAGTGGATTCATTAAGAGCCTGCAAAGGTGCTGAGCACCAGTTTTATGCTTGAGGCATTCCACACTCACCCCCAATACCACTTGTTAGATCCCACTAGCCCTGCAGTTGGTCACTGGGCTCATACTGTTGTTGTTAGTTGCCGTCGAGTCAATTCCGACTCATGGAGACCCCATGTGTGTTAGAGTAGAACTGCATTCCATAGGGTTTTCAAGGCTGTGACCTTTTGGAAGCAGTCACCAGTACTGTCTTCCAAGGGCCTCTGGGTATGTTCAAATCACCAGCCTTTCGGCTAGCAGTCAAGGGCTTAACCATTTGCACCACCTAGGGACTCCATGGGTTCACAATTGACACTGTGGTCTTAGACCCTTGCAAATCCACCTGCCTTCCCAGCTGTACTCTGCTTACCTGGCCACTGATCTCTTCTCTCCGGAGCAGCCGAATGGCCAGGCGCAGCTGTCCCACTACCGCCCGCTCCACAAGGAAGCAGAAATCCTGGGCCTGGACACACAGGTGGTATAGATGGTCTCGAACAGTCTGCCACACACAACCCACACGATCCCTGTAGGGAACACAAGAGTTGAAGACCCTGGGCAATAAGCCTCCCTTTCTGATCCAGGCTAGGCCTTTTAGGGATCATTTGCATTAGACCCTGAACAAATGGGTATAATGAGCAAGCTTCTCCCCTCTGCCTACAGCCTCATGTGCTTCTTGCCCTAGAGCCCATTCAGCAAGATGGCTCCAGGCTTCCACTCCTTTGGCACAAGCCCAGTATGGGGCCTGCCTAAAGACTACCCTCACTCGCTTTCTCCTACCTATTCTCCAGCACAATCCTCAGCAGCATCTCCAGGCAGAAAGCAGCATCTTCCTCATCATATGTCTCTTCATCTGGTGTCACTGAGACTAGAGCCTGGAGGGGAAGAACAGCAGAAAGGTAGGCATGGAGAAGCCAGCCACTGGCCCTGCTCTGCCAGGCATCTAGGCATATACCACTGCTCCCTCCATCCCAAACCCAGCCCACCCTTTCATCACTCTTTCCTCTTCATCTTGTACCTTCATGAGCTCCTGAAGTGACTCCAGCTGGAGGAACTTACTTTCTGTGATCATCTTTTCTGGATCACATTGCTAGAGAGGAGACAAGAGAGAGGGGGTCAACGACAGACTGGAGGTAAGAGAGCTCCCCCAAGAGCCAGGAAGAAGGGCAGAGTCAGCCCTGGTCACAAGCCCTGGATGATTCTATTCTTCAGCTGGCAGGGCAGCATCTGCCCAGTGGAGATGGGTCTGGGCTTGCTCACAAAGGGAAGGAGGGTAGGCAGTTACCTTGATACAGTCCAAGGCCACTCTCTTGGCCTCTTGGTTCTCAGTGGATGGACCCCGCATGCTAGACTGCTCAGGACCACTCAGTGTCAGCCAGCTCACAAAGCTCAGCACTGTTGACTCTCCTCTGCAGAAAAAGGGTAAAAGCCCTAGTAAGCCTGAGAGCTATGACCTTCCTCCCCAAGGCATTCAGTCTCTGGTCTACCCTCACCCTCACCGGTTTGACGGGGTCTCTTCCCGCTGCAGAGAGATCTTGCCATTGGGATCCACAAAATCTTCTACCTGGAAAAGCAGATAAAGTAAGATTTCTTTCCATATGCCCTTTGCATTTCCTGCCCACCTCCCACCCCATGCAAAGTTCTCTGTCTTTCTTCATAGAGCCCTCTGCCTTACACTATGTGGCCTCCTCCAGTTGGTGACTGGCAATAGCTCTTGCCAGCCTTCCTTTAAAGCTATCCCCCAGGATCTGTGGTCTTACATTTGAGGAGTTCTAGTGAGCTTTAGCAGGCATCAGAGCCAGCACTACTCTCAATTAGTTCTGTATGTAATCTTGGGGCTCTTGCCTTGTTATTATTGACTACTCTCCTACCAAGAATTACCTCCACCATAGCTTTGGGTAGCAGCTGGGCTCGGAAAAGCTGTAGCATGGCCTCCATGATATTCTTCCAGCCCTCCCGTAGGATGTCGCCATGACGATGGGCCAAATGGAAGACCGTCTTGGCTGCAATGTGGGCTTTAGGGTTGCTTCCAAACACACTGGGCAGGTTCTCAATAGACTGGAAAAGATGAGAAGAGGCTTAGGGCCTGGATGATGTCTGTAAAGGAGACTCTTTTAGGCCTCTGCCTCTGGTTCCCTGAGGGTCCCTCTGCTGGCTCTGTTTCAATCCCCCATAATAATGGCTGGAGAGCTAAACCTAGTTAAGGCCTTCCCCACTCTTGCATCTCCTCTCCCATCCCATTACATATGGTGATACTATTCTTATCCCAGGGTATGCAAGACAGAAATGACCTAAACTATATGTGGTCAAGTGGGCCGAGGGAAGATGCTGAGGGAAACCAGCTCCACAGATAAGGGTAGATAGATGGCTAGAAGAGAGGTCCTCCTTTGCAACTCCAAATACATAGTCTTTGTCCATGCTCACCTCACTGCTGAGAGCTGTGAATTTGCACAGTGAGATGATGAGGTTGTCAAACACATCGCTGAGGCCATAGTGGGCAGAGATCATGGCGCACTTCCTGTAACATCACCCCATCCCAGAAACAGTGTCACTGGAAGGCTGGGATGCCCTTCCAAGTCCCTGAGGAGGTTTTGCTTGGACTCTTCCCCAATCAGTCCCAGAAAGAAATCTTTTACTCTTGAGTCTGTTTAACACTGAGTTTTCCCAGAGTCCCCTCCCAGCCTCCCTCCAAAAATTCAGGAGGAACCTCATTCTAAGGAAAACAAGAGTAGGAGTCAGAGAAGCCACAGAGGCAATTATGTTAGCTCAGAAAGCTAGACGGAAGTCAAGACCAAGGCCAAAGCTGGGTTACCTGAAGCCTGAGATGGATTTCTGGATGATTGTCTCCTCAAGGCTTTTGTCAAAGACATAAGAAAGAGCAGCAATTGTGGGGCCCCAGGTCATGGTGAAGAGGTCAAGATCGTAGCTGCCAGCAGGTACACGCAGGAATATGCCCTCAGGGGTGGCACCTCGATGGAGCAGCACATTCCATACATAGTTCTCCCGAACCAAACCTGTCTGCTCCTCAGGCATCACAATTTCCTCATTCCTGTCACAAGGCAAGAGAAGGAGTAGATGCACTCCTGTGAATCTTACTGGTTCCAACCTAGGACAAAAGGCTTCACCCACCTATACTGGCACTCTCCATCAGTGAGTGGTCACCAAAACTTCAGCTCAGTGGTCTGCTTCCCACATACCAGTGGGATCAGGGGGAAAGAAAGAAGTGTCTTATAATCCCCTATAATCTCAAAGCCCTGTCTCTAAGTGGGGCCTTCAGTTCAGTAGTAAGATCTCACACCCTTTCTGTGTATAAGAAGATGAACAACTCTACTTTTTCCAATGTACAGTCAAGAACTAAGCGTCCCACCTCTGACCCAAGCCTTACCCTCCAGTGCCCATCTTGGGTTTTGTACTAGCTCCAAAATGCATCTTATGAACTAGACAGGAAAATCCAGCTGGTTTGGGCTTGGGAAATAGAGCCATGACACCTGACATAAGATGGGTAGTTTCGACTCTGGCTTAGAGTACTGGAGTCCCAATATTGTTCAGGTTTCTTTAAGAAACAAACAAGTTGGGAGAGAAAGGGATGTCCAACTAAGTTCCAAGGCTAAATCCAGAGCAAATGAGTTGCCACAGAGTCTAATGTGACTCTAAGAACTAGAAAAGGAGTAAATGTGTTTCTCCCTAACGGAGATGCTACACTTTTCTTTGCATATACTTACTTGATGGCATGGTACATGTCCTCCAGGATGTCTTGTTCAAAGTCCTTGCCTCCATTCACACCTTTTAGATTTTTGCGAAACTCCTAGAGACAGGCCAGTGAGCTTTTCCCCCAGTGTCAATGCTGAAGCCCCACCCAAACAACTCCTGGGTCTGTGGTAAGTAGGACTTAGGAAACAGTAAGTGAAAGACTCTCCCCCTGCACCAGTTCCTCTTCTGGACTGGCCAGCCCTCCAATTCCCTTGGACAGAACTCTGTCCTCTGCCCATCGGAAACCCAATGTCCTTCCTGCTACCTCTAAAACTGTGCTGAATCTTCTTTGCCCTGGCTGGGATCCAAGCTTACCTCCAGGGTCATGGGTGCATTCTGTTTGCGAACGTTGTGGTTGTGTTGGTCAGTATTAAGCATGATGACAGCATAGGCCAGGGCAAAGCAGGCATCGCTATTGGCAAATGGGGAGCCATTACAATTCTGAAAAAGCAAAGACCCCACCTGCGTCAATGCTCTTGTCTGGCCAATTAAACCCTCACCACCAACCCACTGGTCAGTGCCAGTACAGAGGAGAAGTACCACTCAGAAAGTGGCCAATCCCTTGCCAACTCAGTAGAAGCTGATCTCTCCATGGAAAGGTCACTGATGTTGCTCTCACATTTCTTAAGAGACAGCAGCTGGGCCCTTTAGTTCAGGCCATAGAAGCCCTCAGTCAAACTGACCTGGAATCCTGGGCTCAGCCTCTGTCACTCAAACTCACCCTCCAATGCTCTGTGAATGCCTCTAGCAGCCTCTGGATGACTGGTGCTTCCCCAGGCAAGCGGAAGGCTTCCAGGTACAGGCGGAGAGCTTCATCCAGCCTCAGACCCTGAAAGCTGAAGGTGCTATAGGAAAAGGAGGAAGGATGAAGAGGAGGAAGACGTGTAGGCTATAAATGCTGAGCTCTCTATTAGCCACAGAATCCTAACCTGCTCTTCCTGGGCTCTGGCAAAGGGGAGTTATCTCCTGGTCATTCCTAGCCTAGACCAGAACTTTGACAATCCCTAACCTCAGTACTCTTTATATCAGTAGGCTCTTGCCTAGAAACTTCACTCCTGACCCAGCCCCTACTCTATGTTCAGGAACTCTGCTCTATCCCTTTGCGATATTCTCTATGCAGAATGGAGAGGATCCCAAAATTATGTCTCTGGAGCTCCTTTCAGGTCCAACAGATATAGATGATGGCAAGAGGAAGAGCATGTGGTCTAGGTCACAGCAGGAACTGATCAAGACTGCTTTGAGGGAGGGCATCCCTGTCCTCCCAGACAAATCACCAACTATGTTCCACATTGCTTACAGCTTCCTCACCTCACAAAGCTCTCCAACAGGTCAATGTTTTTGCGGTCACTCACAAACTCCCCAATCATTTTCTTGTCCAGTCGAGGGTTCTCTCGGAGCCACTGGGCTACCTCTGTGTTGTCCATTGGGATGGTGAGGAGGCCCTTCTCCTGCAGAAACTGGATCCCTTTCTTTGGTTTCTGGTTAAACTGCTCTGTGCCAGTGATCAGCAGCTGGAAGAGAGAGATCAGAGGCATCAGAAGCTGCTATGCCCCTAAACCAGACAAGGCTAGGCTGGACTCCATCAAGCCCTCAACTGGCCAGCTAATGGGTTCCTAGGATGTGGTCCTTTGTGACTCTAGAACTAAGGCTGGATCATACTGGCTCTAGCTTTCCCCAATTTTCATGTCTAATTAGAATTGGCTGAGGAGCTCCTTTTCTGAGTGCTCAAGATGCATGGGACAGCCCCCTCTCCTCCAATTTGAGGTTCAAGAAAAAAAGTAGAAGAAAGACCAGAGAAGATTTCCTTCTTCTCTCCAGTATTATATCCAACCCTGGGAGCTGTTTACAGCCAACATCTTGTTTATGGCCTAGACTGCATTCCCCTCCTTTCTTTGGTTGCCTAGCTCTTAAGACCCTGGGGTTTGAAAGATAAGGTGAACTGTGATGATAACTTTCTGTCTGTCCAGTCGCACCTCTACAATCAAGGGCACAATAAAAGTCATTTACGGGATGAAAAAGGAACCATTCAACAGGCTGATGAGTAAGATCTAAGAGTTGTCCAACTACAAAAATGAGGCCGGATGATTTCTAACACCTATGGGTGATATTTTTAAGATGCAATAAAATTCATCTATTCCACACAAAAAAAAAAAAAAAAAAAAGTCATTTAGGTGATAGGTTGGCAATAAGAGGAAGAAATGGTTAAACAGAAGTTTTATTTCTAAAATTTCTTTGTGTTAAGGAAAAGCAGTTATTTGAACTTTACTAATGCACCAGAATATCAATTTCCTTTTATTGTCAATCACTACTCTAGAGTTGCAGATTACCAATAACCTGTGACCTGCATGACACTAACTCCCAGAGCTCTGTTAACCTCAGTAACACTTGGCTCTCAGCTAGGGTAGCATTTGCCCAGGGGCATACAATGGGGTATGCCCAACTATATGGCTTAGGAGTAAGGGCAGGGTTTCAAAGGAGACAGGGGGGTGGCTAAAGTCTCAACAAGCCCACAGACTAGCCTTAAGAAGCTGTACAATGAGCTGCCAGACCCTCCCCCATGTTCTGGGACAGAAACCCTACAAAGGACATCCAGACAGAGGTGGGCAGAGGCTGAGCTCAGGGAATATCTGTATGTACCTTCTTTTTGTTTTTAATTTCAATCAGTTCCCGTGGATCTGGCAGAAGACTGGAAAATCGAGGTGGCTTCCGGGTAAACTTTTTGTCAGCTAAGAATGAGGGAAAGTGAGAAACCCATAAGACCTCTTTTACCAGGACAATGACTTTTAGAAGGTCACTGATATACTCCCCAGAGAAAAGAAGGATGCCTCAGAAGCTTCCTTGTCCTTATCAGTCTTCTACTGCCCTGGATGCCCACCTTCTGTGGCTCCAGATATTTTCTTTTCTCTCTCTGAGACTGACGGCATGGTAAGCAGCCAAGGTTCATTCAGGTACTACCCTAGGGTGTTTCTGCTCCCCTCCCTCTGCTCTCTGCCAGGCCCTCCAAGTGAGGGGTCTTAGGGTTATAGACACCCGGTACACACCCCCAGAATCACCAGCTTCCTCCAGATCACTGCATCCTGGCTTCCCGTGTTCTGCCAGCAGCCACCCTCCAGCCAGCAGATGTAGGCCTGGGATGTCAGGGGCCATGCCTACAGCTTTCCTGTCGCTGGCTGCTCTCTCAGCTGGTAAGAGAGAAGATGATATGTGAAGACTTATGGGGTAGGGAGCCAAGCAGAGCTTCCGGACAGGTTGAGTCCCAGGCCAAGGAGACCTGCATGCTTGCACACAGGGAGCCAGCCCTGCCCAGGACAAACCCAACGCAAAACAAAGGGTTACTGGTCCAGACCTGCCAAGCATTAAATTTTATAACAAAGAGGTTATCCAGTCACCTTCTCTGAAATTCTGCAACCTCAATCTCAAGGGAAAGACAGAGAAGATGAATTAGAGGGGAGCAGATACGAGGGTGGAAGTGGGATGGGAGAAGGTAGAACCTAGAGCTTTTAGAACAGAGTCCTATATCCTTTAATCTCTTCTTTTCTCTCCCTATAAAGAAACGATAATTCCTTAAAGACCCAAAAGTAGGCAGGAAGAGAAAGGGAGAAGTCCATGAGTTCCTACTAACCTGCCTGGCTGGCCTGTGACTCAAACCACCAAATCCTGGAAACCCAGAATAGGGAATACTACCCAGGGAAGTGATATAAGGGCAGGAGATAAGATTCAGTGAGTAGAGCATAGAAGCATAGAACTCTGGGAACCTCAAAGAAAGAAATTCCTCTCACTATTACTCGCTTCTCGGGTACTATCTACTGTCTCATAGCTGGGTCTGGCTGCCTCTTTCTTCTCCTGCTGGGTGAGGTTGCTGAGGACTTTGGCCTGGCAGTGGGCCTCAGTGCTGTCAATCACTGTCAACAGGGCATCGAGTGACAGCAGATGTGTTGTATACAGCTGACCAGAGACAGGGAAGGCATTCTGGAAAGTAAACAGATTCAGTACACTTGAGGTTAGAATACTTTATACTTTAACTGATCCGTTTCCAAAAATCCTGATACCCTCTATCACTTCTACATTGCCCTGAGAAAATGCCTTTCTTATTCCCGTTTCCCAAACCTCAAGTGTTCCCCTCCTTGTATGTAGCATCCCCACCACCTCCAGGAAGATTTCCTTAATAGTCTCCTTTCTAGAGGACAGTAGTAGTGATCAGCACCTTGGACAGCAACTTGGTGAGGTCCTCAAAGAGGTTGGAACAGTAGTAGTCACAATCATAGTTGATGTAGAGCTCGGTGACAAAGCTGGGGATGTGCCAGAGCTGCACAATGGCCTCCAGTGCCATCTCCTTCATCTCATAAGGCATCTTGGGGTTCTCCACAGTGATGATTTCCATGAGCTTTTTAATGTACGTCTGGCAATAAGCCAGTAATTGCCATTTGGGTGGATAAAGAATTCAAGACGGGAAGAGACAAAATTGGACAGGAAGAAAATTAAGCAGAGGAAACAGAAGCCCAGACAGGAGGCATGCATTGAGAGATACCTAAAAGTATTCCATCCCCTAAATACATACCCCTCTTTGGTCTCTGTGCTGGGAAATAAAGCCTGGCTCTATCTCATGCCTGATCTAAAACAAGCTGCTTGTTGCTCTAAAACAAGCTACCTGTTGCTCATTTTGAGCTGTGTGAGGCTGACCTGGTTTTATTTATAATTTCTTTTTGCAATATAGTGGCAAAGCTGGCTTGACTTGCCTGCCTGAGTTGTAGGGAAATTGCTAGACAGAGAGCTTGTTCCCACTCATAGTGAAGCTACCCGCCAATCCTAACATTTAGGCTCTCCCACTTCATAGCCAGCCAGTTTTCCCTGGGCTCCTTTTAACTTCTCCACTAGTGACGCCAGCCAATGAAGCAAACTATGGGGGCTAAAAGCATTTTCCTACAGGAAGCCCCTAAGTCCCACCACTGCAACATGACAGTGCTGGCCCCACCAAGGATGGTATGCATCTCCCTATTTTCTTTTTCTTCTAAGATCAGGAAACTCACCTCCAACTGGAACTTGAGGTGCTCCCGCATGCTCTCAAACAGTAGGAAGCATACCCGCAGGGAAGCAGCATACAGGTTCAGTCGTTCAATGCTAAGTAGCTGGAGATCAGAGCAGGGTGGGCCATGAGGCTTCTGAACCTGACTATGGCTCAACCAGGAGAGAGGCAAGACAGCAAATTGGGTAGAGTTGCCACTGAGGTCCTGTGCTCTGAGGAAACTATATCTAGCCATTCCTATATTTCCCTCTGGTTGCCAGAGTCCCTGGGGAACTACTGGAGCCCTCTTACTATGACTGCTGGTCAATTGTGAGAGAAGTGTTACCCAGGGCTCTATACTCTTCTCACAAATCAGCCAAACTGCCCTGTGTTCCCCTAGCTCTGGAGAGACCTTGAAAAACAGCCAGGAGCTCTGAGTCCCTCTAGCAATTCAGTCTTACCTGGAATAAGTGGCGGCACATCTCATCCTTGATGAGGCCCAAGAGGGTCTGGCACTGGGCTACAGGAGCTGACTCAAGAGCCACTGTCAACAAATGCAGTCCCATGTGGATCATAACCTCTGAGTTGTGGCGGTCATGTGGGTTGGTGAGGGAGATGAGGAAACGGAAGAGCTCGCGGATACAGGGAAGGCCATAGGGGACCAAAGTTGTACCTGGGGAAACCAGGAGAAAAGTGAGACTGCTAAGAAACAACTGGCCTGATGGCTTGGCTTAGCCTGCCCTGCATTATACAAGGCAATTCCAGGTAAGTGATTCTTTTCAAGGAAAAAACTGTCTTTTTCCTAGGAAAGTGAAGGGACTAGTCTTACTTATTTTAGGGAATCAGAATTGATGATGCTACCTTTCTGTTAAAGTCCCAAGTTTTCTATTCTTCCTCTCGTTTCCTATTGTCCACCAAATTCCCTCTCTCTGTAAATCAGGGAAGGGCTCCATCCATGCCAACAGTCCTCTGGTTTGATTCCATTTCCTGACTAGAAAATGGCCTAGAACTTGGACCAGCAGGCAGCAGTCATCTTGGATCCAAGATGGTCTAGACTCAGGAAGCTTAGTGGGTGGGATGGGGGAATGTGATGGGCAGACTGCCAGAGTACCCACCTTCTTTCTGGGAAGACTGTGTAAAGCGCACGCCCCGGGGATTGACGTAATCCATGTCATGGACAGAGGCAGAGTCGGAGTGGTCAGCAGGGGATGTGCACTCCTCTAACACCTCAGGGATGGATTCCACAGATGCTGATTGTGCCTTTTCCACCTGGACCACTTCCTGCTATGACCAGTAGCAGGCGGATATAGGAAGAGGGTGAGGCAAGAGAAATTTGGAACTTATCCTCCTGAAGTACCTGTCCTTCAAGCTGTTTCTAATGGACTGCAGGTGTAGGGCCAGCTCAGTAGGCTATGAATCAATGCAAGGCAGATCAGGGCAGGAGTATGATGGATTCAGAACACATCTCCTGAGGCATCACTGACATACAGTGACTGGAACTCTAGAGGTAGCAGAGGCTCTCACAGGCCTGGGATTCAGATCATTGCCTTTCAGAGAAAGCCACAGACAGCTGCCTCACCTTTGCCAAGCGCCACCCATATGCACAACCTGATAAATCCCATCATCTGTCTCTCACAGTGAGTCATCTGTGGATTTTCCAGGCAGCACAGCTAATTCTAGGAAGAAGAACCTCCCTGCCCCAAGTTTCTTTTGAGCCAAGGCCTAGATAAGCACCCAAAGGATCAAGTTCATTCCCACAGTAGAAGATTAGAGAGGGGTCTTCAGAAATCACAGCTATACCTGGGGGTCTGGCTGTTCAGGAACCCCTAGCTCGTTGCTCACAGGGTCTGCAGCTGTGCTGTAGCCTGGAAAGCCAGCTTGTTCCAGGTCAGTGAGGTCCTCCTTGGAGGTGGTCTGGGAGGAGAACTCCAGGCCACTGTCTGTAGAGGGGCTGACCACTGCTGAGGCAGCTTCTGAACTTGCAGAGGAGATGGGAGTAGGCATATCAATGAACGGCATGCCACCTGCCAAGCAAAGTAAGCGGGGCTTGAAGGAGAAGAGAGGGCAGACTCTGTGGGAAAAACATACCTTCCATGGAACGAGGGGCTCTATTTCCCAGCCTACATCCTAATCTCTGATAAACTAATCTCTAAAGTAGTCTGAGTCCCTCTGCAAGGAGAGCACCCCTAAGTCACTGCAGAGTTGCTGAAAAGTCACAGTCTGATCTGACCTGGAGTTTTCCCTTTTTGCTTTCAGCAGAAACACCAAAGCCTCTCAGTTGATTGGTCTTCAATTTCAATATCCCTGAGAGAGGAAGGAGCTTTTTTTCTATCTATTCTAATTAGAGGAAACAGCCCAGGGTACTTACCAGTGAGGTTAGAGGATAAGGTGGTTCCATTGGGGGTGGGCAGCTCTGAACCTGGTGTGACTTTGGTCACATGGTGAGGGGGCCGGGGGGATCTCTTCTGCTTCTTCCACTTGGATGAATCACTCATGCCTCCTGCTCTCATTTTCAGCTGGAAATATCAAACCTCATTAGTACTTGTATGCAAACCAAGACTCTATCCCTAGAAATCTCCCTTCTCTTAGTCCTACTGGTCCCTAGAAAGCAGCCTATGCCCCACATCTGTGCCAAGCTAAGAATCTAGACCATCAGATCACATTCCTACTGCTCTAACCTGCCTTCTACATTTGCCACTTTACAAGTTGGCTTAGCAGCCTCCATGTGGAAGGTGACATTCAGCTTCTAGGCTGGTTATTGATAGGGCCAACCCTCACACTTATCGCTCCGCTCCCTTGGGTCCTGAGTCCTGCATGACCTCTTGCACAAAGGATAGGGGCAGGGGCTCCTTTACCGAGAGCCTCAGGTCTACAGGGCCATGGACTCCTGGGCATTCCTCCTCAACTACCCTGCAGAGCAGCCCCCTACTTCTATTAGTTCTTATTCAACTATAAGAGCCTACTCCTTCCCATACAGGCTTCTGGCTTTCCTATTGCTTCACAGACTGAGCTTAGATCACAAACACACTCCTTACTTTCTGGAATTTCTACATCAGATTGGTCAGAGCCTCATTCCTTGGATTAAAGAAAGAGTGGACGACAGTTTATTCATAGAGTTAAGAATGGAGGGTCACATCATGCTCTCTGCTGCTCGCAATTTTGTTATATTAATGGAGCCTCCTGTCCGTCTCACCATTGGTCTTCTAGATAGTTTGTTTTCAGATGGGAAGACCCTGATTCCTTGGACCTTTGATCTATTCCGTTCTCCTGTCTCTTGCTGTATTTCTATTCTTCCTATAGCTTCCTTTTAGTCACAGGCACTATCTATCACCTGTTGACGACTCTAAGATGTAGGTTTTTTAATGCATTTCCCCCACTCTAAGTTCAGAGTTACTTTGTTTAAGAGCATTTCTTTTCCCTAGCCCTGATGCTTTTTCAGCTGGGGTTTGAACCCAGTCCTGTTACAGAGTTATACTAAACCATTTCTAGACTGATGGACTGTTCCTGGATTGGGCAACAGCCACTCTCCTCCAGGAGCCATTAGAATGACTCCTAGGAGAACAGAAGCACTTTTCCTCCCTGCCTCTTCCTAAAGGCATATTATCCTTGGCCTGTTCATTTCCTTCTGATATCTGGGGATTGTCCCCCTTCCTCAGTCTCCCCCAAGCCCTCTAGAACCCAAGTAATCTTTGATCCCTTGCTTAGAAACCAGAATTCTTCTTTTCCTACCCATAGCTCCTTCCATAAAGGCGAGATGCCCAAGAGCTGAGTTCTTCCCCCAGCTCTCAGTAACACAGCAACCTTGTATTGGATTTATACTTCTTGTCCTTCCAACTCCAAAATGCCTGTAGTCATATGCCTACACTGGAACTTCAAGCACTCTAAGCACTGTGGCTAAAGCTCTCCAGAGCTAAAGTACCCTAGAAACTTGCCCCAGTTTCAGCAAAAGTGGGGCCTGTGGAGGCTGGAAGAACCTCCCCATTGGAGCTCAGCCGGGTCAAGTTTATGGTAAAAAATGTTCTGGGGGAGGAGTCAGCCAAAAATGCAGAAGGGTAAGAAGCCTAAGATATCAATGAGGGAAAACAAGGGCCTCCTGGCTTTACTGGCAGTTGTCACTGAGCTCCAAAAAGTACTAACGTCCGGATCCATTTCTATTTGGTGCCCCTTCTCTCCAGGGGGCTCTCCAATTTCAGGGACTCCAGGCAGTCCTAATTCCACTGGAAAGCCAGTCATTCACTGAGGTTCCTTTCCACACTAGGATCATTCTTTCCTCACCGTTTTCTTCTCTGTTTTCTGCAAAGCTAGCTCCAACCTGGTTGTTTCAGTCACCTTTCTCTGCCTCCTGGCTGGAGAACGGGCTGAGAGGCTGCCAGTTCTCACAAATGCCTCAGCCCTTAAAAAATAGAGCTGTGCTCCCTGTTCTAAGGTGAGGGGTGGGCAGCAGGTGTTCATGGAACCCTACATGACCTTATCTGTAAAACTGTGTATTCCCAAAGGACAGTACAGCTTTAAAAAAAAAAAAAAAAGAAAACAAACTGGCAATATGCCAGGTAGCCGCTGAAGACAGCTGCAGTTTAAGACTAGGCAAGCACACAAATGAATCTTAAGACAATGCATGCAAAGAGAACACAGGCCTGTGGAATGCCTAGCTGGGTACACACCCATACCCACAGTTCTTTTTATCTTCAAAGACCTGGATGTCCACAGCCACACCTCTAGCATACACACTCTTGTGATAGATAGCCTACACAGTCCATACCTCCTTCTCTCCTTCTTCCTTAAGGCAGAAATATGGGGATTAGGGTAATCTTTAGCTTGGACCCCTCTCTTACAATCTCAACTTTTAAAAGACAAAGGAGATCTGCAAAGATGCCAGGTAGTCCCAGTGTCCTGGGCTACCCTGGCACCTAGCTTCTCTCCATCAGTCTAGAGTTCTAAACCTTGGAATAACCCTTTTAATGGTAACTAAGGAAAAAAAGACCCCAGCTAGCCAGACTACGCTTTCCCTCCAACTCAGACCAGGTATCCAGTTAGAGTCAAGAACTATGCATAAACTCTCTATGCCAGCTCTGAGACAGGGAGAGGGTAGAAGAGGAGAGGGAAGAGTCTTGTTTAGGGGTCCCTCATAGCTTCCCCAGGAATGGTAGATCTTAACCCTTCCCAAAGGCGACAGTAGGACTCAGGCTCTCTATCTAGTCTCACTAGATGATGTATCATCAGTTCAAGGCTTCCTCCTCCTGCCTCCAGGCAACCAGATGCCCCAGGAGAATTCTCAACTCTGCAAAGCTACAAATACATGCAACTTTTCCAAAGCCATGCTGTGTTACTAGGGAGGGGTAAGTTGTGCTCTACACAATGGAAATGGGAATCTGGGTGTTACATAAAAAATAAATAAACATTTAAAGAAATAAAAAGGGGAAAAGGAGAGGTAGAGGGAGAGAGACCTTGAGGTTCTTAAAGAGTAGTACCCTCTCTAACTGGTTCAGGGCTTTGGGCTGCTCCCCACTACTTAGCTCCAGTTTGTTGAGGAGACATGGAGAAATCTGTGAAAGGCAAACGCACGATTTAAACAGACTGAAATAAACTCAGACACACACTAATAGGGCACAGGGCAGGAATGGGGCTGGATGGCAGGGGAGAGGGAAAAGGTCAGGTACATGCACCAAACAGCCAAGGGTCATCTCCATGGGCAGAACCTCTTAGGATTGCAAGCAGAATTCTCATCAGAGGCCTCTGAAGTCCAGGGCTTCAGTTCACAATAGAAAGAGGCCATTTTTATGACCACTATTCTTCTCCTAGCAGTTTGAGAACCTTCCAACCTAGAGTCAGGCTTGATTTGTCTCTTCAACAGAGGCTAGCACAAGTGTGAGCCCAGACTAATCCAGCATTAGGGCGAGATTTGGGGCATAGCCTCTCTAGGCTTCTACCTCCTGAATAAGGCTGGGCCCTGAGGGGATGGTAGGACTTTCATTTTTGTCAACATGCATTTTCAGGGCAGCCTGGTGGGCCTTACCCAGGGTCCATGAAGGACTGGCTCACCAGCTTATATGGTGGGTCAACAAAGGCCAGAAAGGAAAAGTTGGGGAAGGAGAGGCATCTGGGAGAGCATAAACTGCCCACTGAAGGAGTGGTAGCTATTTTCTAGATTCCAAGCAGACCTGTTTAGACAAAAGCATGTCTTTGCTAAGCAAGGCTATCCAGGAAAATACCCATAGCACTGAAGTTGGGAGATCAAGTCTCCCAGATCATACCTTTTTCATGTTGGTCCCCACATAGTTCTTCGGTTCTTCTTTAAACTGAGGTAACCTACAAGATGAGAATACCAGGGAATGTCATTAGGTATAATGACAAATTCACCCCTCTAGCCAGCCACCACCCAGAAATGTTCAGGGCCACAGCATGCCCTATTTATCAGGAAAAGCTAGGAAGAGAAGCAGGCTAATTTCACCCTTCTCAGAGCTTTATCAAAGAACCACAGGAACTGGGGGATACATGACATGAACACTTTCTAAAAGTGAAGGTAAAGTCATCAGGGCAAGGTGACCAAGTGCCCTTGGAGTGTGGAGGTTCTTTTCATCCTTAAATGGATTCCTCCCTCCTTGTGTTCACTTGGTCAGTATTGCTGAAAGCCAGGAGATGGGGAGAGGGAAGTCTATCAAACCCTCAGGAGACTGGGCACAGGGTGAGAAGGAAAAGGCAGGTTGAGGTTTTGAAACCAGTAAATTTAAGCCTGAGGAGTAAGAAACTTTTTGCAGCAGGGACTAGGGACAGATGTAGTCTGTAGATAGTAAGGATTATTATCTATAGATTTGAAGAGCAAAAAGAAATACCAGAGGGAGGTTTTAAAGCCATTTCTTCAGCTCTTCTCAAAGCTTGCCTATTGAAAGGAGGTGTAGGAAACAGGCAGTAGGGCGTGGTATAAAAAGGCCTCCTAGGCCCTAGGCTGACAGCTTTGCTTAGGGTAACCAACCATCCCAGTTTCCCTGGGACTAAGGGGCTTCCTGGCATGTGGGATTTTCAGTCTTAAAATTGGGACCAAAAAAAAAAGAAAACAACCAAAAAACAAACCCCTTGCCTTTGAGTCGATTCCGACTCATAGTGACCCTATAGAAAATCAGGACAGTCTCGGGCAAACCAAGATTACTGGTTCCCCTATCCTTGGCCCCTCCTACAGTGATCAGGATGAGCTCTGGGAGCTCAGCTCCTTATTCCAGGCACCCTTGGACTTGGCTTCCTCTCTGGGTTCTCTTTCCCAGCTGTTACCTGCACAGAAACAGATACTAGTTTGGGAAGCAGAATAAGGTTTGTCAGCCTAGATCAGATAACCCTCTACCTCCTCCTGAGGCCAAGCAAGCTCCCTCTTCTTTTTCCCTTGCCCAGTAGCCCTGGGCCCAGACAGCTACCCCTATCCATAATCCCAGTGGCCTCTGATGTGGCTGTGAGGTTGGCTGGGTCCCTGAAGTGGCTATGTGGAAGCAGGCAGGCTCAAGAGGCCTGGGCAGCCGGGCTGAAGCAAACAGCAGCAGGTTTACCTTGTGAAGAGCAGCTGCACCATGTCTACGAGAGTGTGCTCTGCGGATTTTCTCAATAACTCTGCACAAGCAAAAACAAATAACACAGGTGTCATTACTTGCTGTGCTATTATCAGGAGGCTTCTCAGAGCAGACTCCCCTCCAAACCTTGTTTACCAAGGATTATGCCAAACTTATTAAAACCAGCTCCAGCTCAGCCTGGCAACTATAACATCACTGGCCCACTAGGTGGCACTACTGAGTCAGGAAAAAACGGGGAGCAATGGATGTGTTCTGTGCAGTTGCAGGCTGGTGCCAATCCCAGAAACCCTAAGGGAGGGAGAGTTGATGCCTGGGCTGAGTCAGTCTGGAATCCATCCCACCTCCTGCCCTGGCACAATGGGTTGAGGTCTCTATTCTAGCTTCACAACAGAGTCAAGGACAAAGGCTTCTAGACCCCTATTACTCCACGAGGTAGGTGATGGAGAAGTCCTGAGTTTTCCCTGTCTCTGGGATTCAGAGACGGCATCCTGTGTTTATACTCACAGACAATGGCCACAGGCATGGTGAAGGAGACGAGATTCAAGCACCTACCACTAAGCCTCATTTCAAAGCAGATCCGAAAGCAAGACTGCATAATCTCACACACAGATTCATTGGTCAGGTGGGCACCCACTGGGGTCAGCAACAGAGTCCGCAGAACCTACCATGAAGAAAGGGGGAGATACTGCGATAAACAAGGCAGGCTGAGTGACAAGGTGTACTTGAAGGGAGAAAGGCTGCTTTGTGTTTCTCTAGACTCCTAGGGAAGCACTTAGGGGTGAGAAAGGGAAGTTAGCAGGAACACTGACCTTGCTTCAGTTTGGCAGACATGTCTCCCAGGACCTGTCTTGGGAACTATTTCTTTACTCTGCATGACCCTGTCATGGCTCAGAACTCTTTCCAGCCCTAGCCCAGAAACCCAACAGATGGATGGGAACAAATACAGTCTGTTTGAGGTATAAGTGTATTAAGGGCTTCCAGTATTTGATATCATTCATTTAAAGCTTTTAATTATTTCCTTAGAAAAAGCTTTTACTTTGGGTACCTGAGCTGCTTGTTTGGAAACAAAGTCGCTCCCCAAGCCCCACTGGAGTCAAAACACAGCTTCATGCTGCCAGCAGACTAGGGTAAGTGGAGGCACCAGCTCCTGGCCATTAGCATAATTGCTCTTCCCCACCACTTACCTGAAGGATTTTCATCAGGACAACCTCATCGCTGGCAGGATCTGTACCCACAAAACGGGCGTGGGTGACAGCATCTGCCATGTTCTCCATGCCCTCTGCTGTGCCCTCATGAATGGGATCTGCTCCAGCAAAAAAGGAAAGACTAAGTGACTAAATGATGTGGAGAGAAGAGAGAGAAAAGGCAAGGCATCTTGTCTAGGGGCTGCTTTGAGAGTCTTTGGTTTTCTCCTCTCTAATTCCCTTGAGCTACCTGAAAATGTCTGCCGTTAACTGGCGTTAGTGTTTAGTGAGCTCTTCTGCACAAATTCCACTGTGTAAAAGAGTGGTTTTCAAACTTAAGCATACATCAAAATCACCTAGAGTGCTTGTTAAAATACAAACTGCTGAGCTCTACTTGCAGAGTTTCTGAATTACTAGATCTGCAGTGGGGCCTGAGAATTTGCATTTCTAACAAGATCCCAGGTGAAGCTAACACACACTTTGGGAACTAATGGTGTAAAGCTACTCATTTCTTGAAGGAAAAGCCTGGAAATATGAGTTTTTGGCCCAGAGCAAGTGCCAAGTAAGGCCAGATCTTTGAATGCCAAAGTTGCAGCCTTTCTCTTTATGTCTTTCAACACAGCTTCTCTCCCTGGTTGCTTTTGGAATTTTGTGCTCAGGTGCAACTGAGGTAGGGGAGCAGCCGGAGAAAATGGATAGTCACTGCTGCCAGTACTCATATCTGGTGCCACATTACAGAAGCTCAGAGAGCTCTTCCTGCTTTGCTTTCATTCTTATTAAAACAATATGGCAGTGAGCAAGAATCCAGCTTAACTAAACAGACATTAGAAGGGAAAAGAGGCAAACTAAACAAGACTGGACCTGGCTAATTGAGGAGTGGGAGAGAGAGAGGATTGCAGTTGTGAATAAGGAAAGGGGATGAGCTAGGGGTCAGTCAACCAGCACAATGCTGGAAGCTAACACAGATGCTGCCAAGGGGGGAAACTGCTCCCATTCATAAACAGCCACAGGGAGTAGCCAAAGAAGTTGCCTTCCTCAAGGCCTATGAGGGTCCCACAGAACTGTCTGGGTTGTGGGGCTCCCGCCCCGGGTCTGCTCTGAAGGACCCTTTCCACTGCTGTTCAGTCCTGAAAAGGGAGCAGAAGTAGGAGAAAAGGCAGGGACGTGATAAAATTTTATAAGTGATAAAGTTGCTCTAGAGGTGGCATGGTGTAGTACAGGAGCCATGTCCTAGCTTTAAGTGATAGGACTTAGAAGGAGCAATTCTTAACCACTTTCTATTTCCCGGCACCTGAAATTAATGGAGTTCCTGAGCCTAAAGCTCAGGGAATGGCTGAGAAGCCTGAACACTGCTTGCACAATAGCCAGAAAAGTTTCATTAGTGGTTAGTTAGTGGTTTTCGTTTGTTTTCTTCTTTCTCTCTGCCCTGGTTAGTCTCTGACACTTTGTCAAAGACTCTTTTTGTCTTATTTACAGCATCTTTACACTCAGTACTAGGAGTGGCTACTCCAGAGGTCACGCAGAAGGAAGCCAATTTCACGATGATAAAGAGTATAATGAAGTGACTCAGCTCGTTCTAGCACCCCAACTCTCTGTGTTTCTCCCAGCTGGTACAGAAAATCCTACACTCTCAAGGCCTTTGCTTGAGTCCTCTCTCATAGCCCTGCCTGACAGTCCTTATTCAGGCCTCCAGGGCCCACAGGAAATCCAGGTCCTTTTCAGTGTTGTGTGGTGTTTCAGAGCTCAGTGAATGGCAGCCTTGCTCCCATTTCACAGTGCTCCTAGGGGGTCAACTTCTTCCTCTCTTTCAGTAATTTCCCTTGTTAAGGTGGTTTAAGCTGTAACCGATCTCTTTATAGATCTTATACTCTGAGCTTGAATTAAGTAGCAAAGTTAATTTTCTAAAAAGACTGGTAAGAGTGACAGGTCTTTAGAACCATAGGCAGGGCCTACCAGCAAGCAAGGCAATCTGTGGGACAAATTCTGGTCTGGCAGCTGTGTGGGGCCAAACAAAAGGCTGGTCCTTGGAGTGGGACCTACAATAATCCCAGAAGCCTTGGGTCACAGGATTGGAAGGGTGGGGGAGGGGGTGTTTCTTCTGAAAGGACAGCCTAAACACAGGATTGTTTGGTGGGTCCATTTAGCAGGCCTTGTCTTCCCTAAGACCTATTCTTCAGAATGTCCTTCTCTCCAGGCTAGTCTGGAGCAGACTGCATAGAAATTTGCCAATCTTATCTCCTTTGCCTTCTGGCTTTCATACACTCCTTCCTGCTCCTTTCTCATGCCCACTGCAATCACCACCTCCAGCATTCTCCTTTCTCACCACAGGAAACTCCAATGACCAGCTGGCCTGAGGTCTCCAATAACTAGCCTGTTTGCCAAGTCCAAGAAGGGAAGAGAGTAAAAGGGACAAGAGAGCAGAGGAAAAAGGCACAAAGGGGGCAGCTGCTGGAGGCTGTGAAGAGAGATGACCTGCAGGTGGTGCTCAGGGCAAGGCTGGAACTGGCTGGGCCTGATTATGCTTAGGAAAAGTATGAAGGCTACGGTGCATGGAGAGGTTGATACACCTGTTCAGAACCTAGCTGGCACCCAGGATTTCTGCTCAGGATCCTGAATGCATCAGCTACACAGATCCAACTTTCTAGAAAAGATAAAAATTTTCTTGCCCTGAACTTAAGGCCATTTTCCTTCCTGGGTAGCTACAGCCTGAGCCTCATCTTGTTTTGTTCCCCTACTTAGAAACAAAGACAGCTGCCTGTTTTCTGTGTTCCTTACCCTTGCACATGGGCTGGCAATAAGGGAAAAGAATCCAGGATCCTAAATGATGAGACCAACTAAAAAGGAATCCAAAAGAGACACCATAAACAAATTCAGAGATAAACAACAGACTAGGTGAAATATTTGGGCTAGATTGGGAGAAAATATTTGTAATACTATCATAGACTAAGGGTTGATATTCCTAATATAAAAAGAGCTCCTATAAATTGATAAGAACACAAAAACAACAACTCAATAAAAATTTTAAAAAAAAAGGGCAGTGGAGAGGAAATTCAAACGGCAAATGTTCAACCTCAAGGAAATAAAAACAACAAAATACCAGTTTTCACCCACCAAATTGGCATAAATAAAGAACAGTGATAATATTCAGTGCTGATGATAGGGCAGGGGAATGGATGCTCTCATACATTGCTGGTGGAAGTGTAAAATGCTGTAACCTTTTGGGAAGGCAACCTGGGAGGACTTATGAAAATGTAATACGCACATGGCCTTCAATCCAGAAACCCCAAGCATAGGAATCTGTTCTACAAAATGAAAACTAGTAAATAAGGACATATGAGCAAGGATGCTTATTTCAGCATTATTTATAATGGCTCCAAACAGGAAACAAATATTAATCAATACGAGAACGATGGAATTAATTGTGTTACATCTGGACTATGGAAATTGTAGAGCTATTAAAAAGAATAAATCAGATGGACAATTCTACCATGTACATCTAAGTTAATACTATCAAGTGAAAAAACAAAATATGTAGCACACAATTCTATTTTTATGTCTTTTAAAAAAGGGGTGGTGCTTATATATCTTTATATATACATACAGAAAGAGTCACACCAGGCTGTTAACACTATTTACCTCAAACAGGGGGAGAAGCATTGAGAAAGATAGAGACCATTAACTTTTTTTTCTTTTTAGACACCTCGTTATTGTTTGTCTTCTTACAATAAGCATGCATTATATTTGAAAAATAACTTTAAAAATAAACCAGATCAACAAAACAAAACCTCCAAGGACCTCACACCCTTAATTCCCCCCTAAGCATGCTCAGAGAAACCAGAGTCCCAGGGAAACCTCCCCTCTTTCCCTACCCAATACAAACTGAGTCAATTATTATGATGAGTAGCCAATAACAATCATATTTCTCTTATACAAGGAAAGAGATGGCTGGAAAAAAATTTCCCAGTATCACCAGCTCATTGCCTAGGGCCTGGCCCCTTCTCTCCTCCCAGGAGAGACAGGAAATGAAATGCTGTGGTCATCCAAGAAAAGTCTGAGCTCTTACCTATGAGCGCATAGGACAGAAACTTGTTGACAGAGGTGAGTGCCAGTCCAGTGATAGGGCCAGTGGTATCTTCAGAGCGAATCACTTCCAGGAATGGACGAAGGAACACATTGGGCTCAATCTCTGAGAGTTCTGCAAGAAGAGAAAACAGGAATGAAGAGATGCCATCTGACAAAACACTAAACCCTAGAAAAACGCCCTGCTTGTTTGTGCCCTAAGGCTAGAGGTCTTGGTTACTGGGTCACTCCTTCTCCCTCTGGATTACCTTGAATCAAATTCTAGACATTGTATCATTTTATCTGTAAAATTTTCATGTCTGTAGCTCTAAAAGACAAAGAAGCTTAAGGGGGAAAAAAACACCCTACAATACCACTATCATGCTTTAAAAAATTAACAATAATTCTTTAATATCATCAAATATTGCTGGGACAATTTTCCATGTCCATTTCAGGAGGAAATGCTCAAATCTCTCACCCTCTCCAGTGATAAACTGGTAAACCTCATCTTCTGCCCTGCTGGGTATAGCCAGTGTGGTTGTCTTTATGTCTTTTGCTATTACGGTCAAGGTCACTTCTTTTAGGGAAAGAGCACAGCACATCCCAGGAGGGTGGGGAGGAAACCTTATGAAAAGATAAGCAGAAAAAGAACAAATGGCTGTGCAGTCCCTCACTCACAGAGGCAATTTGTAATCTTGGAAGGTCCTAACCATTCTCCAGCCCCCTTTCCTGAGAGCAGGCAGAGGGTTACTTGCCCTGAGGTGAAGAGGCAATTCATAATCCCTGTTTTACAGATGAGAAAAATGAGGCTCAGATAAGACAAACGACTGGCTAAAGTAAAAGGCAGAGCTGTAAACTGAACCCAGACTATGAGATTCTAAAACTCGTAAAACCCCTACATCTATTCTACGTAATTACCAGTACAGACTGCTGAATTTTAAAAATTTCACTCCAGATCTATGAAGCTATACCACATTGGACTTGCTCCCTACTCAACCCTGCTCAGGGCTGAATTTTTTATTTTTCTCGATTTTGCTATGTTTTCATTTTTTAGAGACCAGCTCCCGAAAAGGCTCCCTAAATAGGCCAGAAAGAGCTATGGATGTGATCACACTGCCCCACCTTTACAGACAAAAGGAAGCTGGGTTTCCTAAGCACCTTCATTTTCACGCAAATGCAGGGAGCTTCCTACTCAATTCCTGTCACCTCCTTCTCAGGGTAAACATTCCCTGGGCCAGACTGCTCCTCAGATTAATGCTTTAATTAATTGGCAGATTAGGTAGCATTTTCCAAGTTTGTCTGTATAGTGATCACATCAGCTGTATAAAACCTGCTTCTCATCCCCCACTGCCCCCACCTAGAGATGTACAATTTGCAGGAAAAAAACCTAGGGAAAAACCTTTGGGGGGGTGGGCGGGGGGACAGATGGGGGTTGAGATGTAAGAAATAGAAATATTTGGAAAAATCGAAATATCAACTATTCTTCCTCATGTCTTCCTTTATGGTGAAAGGTTTTACAGCCAGGGTCGACACTTCCTCTGCCTCTTTTTTGTTTTGTTTTAATTAACAATGACTGCTAAGAAACATACATTCCAGCACTTCCATTCTGTGATTCCATGCTTTATGGAAATTTACTGCTGGAAAACTAGAAGAGCTGGACTTTTTAACGAGCCCACCAGGACCCTCACTATCACCCTCACTCCTCCACCCGCTTGGGGGAAAAAAAAGCAGGGGAGGGAATCATGGTGTATGAAATTAACTGTTCCAAGAGTTTGGTCTAGGCAGAATTCGAACTTTGCTCCCTAGGTTCAACTGCTGATTTCCAGGAGCATCAGAGAAGCTCTAGCAGAAACAACTTCTGCAGGTTTGGGGGTGCGAAGTACTCCTAGCAGGGCATCACTAGCAAGGGCATTTCTAATTTAAGGGGAGCCCTGTGGCACAATGGTTAAGACCTCAGCTGCTAACCAAAAGGTTGGCAGTTCAAATCTACCAGCCGCTCCTTGGAAACTCTATGGGGCAGTCCTACTCTGTCCTATAGGGTCACTATAAGTCAGAATCAACTTGATGGCAACAGGTTTCCTCTGTAAACAGGAGCCCTGGTGGCACAGTGGTTAAGAACTTGGCGGCTAACCAAAAGGTCAGCAGTTCGAATCCACCAGCCGCTCCTTGAAAACTCTATGGGATCAGTTCTACCCTGTCCTGTAGGGTTGCTATGAGTCAGAATTGACTGGATGGCAATAGGTTTGGTTTTTTGGTTTCTGTGTAAACATTTAAAGCCTGGAATTTCAGTTTATAATCCTGGTGAAGTGTTCAGATGAGCCCTCTAGAATAGTGCTCCTCAAACTATCTGTGGTAAGGGCCAATTTTTTGTTGTTTGTTCATATCAATCCATTGCAGACCCATACTTTTGTGTGCTAAAAAAAAGAAGTCCCACTTCTTGGCTACTATTCTAGAAAATTCTCTAAATCCTGGGATATTATAGCTAAAAAAGTCCCTAAAAGGAACTTAAATGAGGTAACTAAGGCTTAGGGAGGTTAAGTAATTTGTACAATGCCACATAGCTAGTTAGTGTTGAAACCAGGACTAGAAGTTGAGGGTACCAGGTAAAAACACAAGCTTTAGAGCAAAATTCAAATTCCAGTTCTGCAACTTAGTAGCTGTGTGACCTTAGTTACTTAACTTTTCTAAGCCTTTGTTTTATCACCTGTAAAATGGGTGTTGGATAATTAAAATAAATTAAATTGAAAAATAAATAGTAATAGCAGCTAGTATTTATAGTACATGCATATACATAATACGTGCCAGGCACTGTGTTAGGCACTTTACCTACATGATCTCATTTAATGGATGTAAAACACTTGGTACAATGCATGGAATAAAGTGCAAAATAAAACAAAGTGATAATTTTTTAGTTCTGGAGTCCCAGTCAGTGTTCTTTATGCTGTATACTAGTTTATTTCGTAAGATTTAAGTGAATATCAAAAAATTCCTAAACCTTAAAGAGAACAGAAGTTAAGGATAAATGCCAGAATAACTGGTGGTTGTTATTTATGATACAATTTGGAATATGTCTTAATTTCTGAGGGTGTTAGCTTTTTCCAAGGAATGTGTAGTATCAGAGACAGGAATAGGCCTCCTTTTTTTTTTTTTTTTTT